TCTCCAAATTAAAAAACAAACAAACAAAAAAATGTGTAGCTCAGAAGTAGAGCACACGCCTAACATGCATTAGGTTCAGTGCATGCCTGCACACACACCTTAGATTTTTAGAGCAGGTATGATGTGGAATGTGCTTATGAGTTTTTCTTTTCAGCCTATAGAATGTACAGCCCTCCCTGAACCCCGCTCTCTCTGTCACTCTCCCCATGTTGGGTCAATACTTTCCATCTACTCTTTTTCACAGGGTTCTTGTAAGAGTTATTCTAAGCCGGGCGGTGGTGGCACACACCTTTAATCCCAGCACTCGGGAGGCAGAGCCAGGCGGATCTCTGTGAGTTCCAGGCCAGCCTGGGCTACAGAGCGAGATCCAGGACAGGCACCAAAACTACGCAGAGAAACCCTGTCTTGAAAAACCAAAAAAAAAAGCGGGGGGGGGGGGGGGGGGGGGGGGGGGGGGGGGGGGGAGTTATTCTACACATACTACTCACTTCACCTTGACTCAGAAATTAAATTTCATTGATTTTATCACAAGGAAATGATTTTATCACATTGAGAGCCACATGCAGAGAATTATATGTGTTGGCTAACCTTAGTACAATAATAAAAACAAGAAACAACCTAAATAATTGATCATGTGGAAACTTTAAAAAATGAAATCAGCAGCTTGGGAAATGGCTCATTGGGTAAGAATGCTTCCTGAAGTCAAACCCCCAGTGTCCATGTAAAAAAGGCAGGCATGGCTGCACATGCCTGCAACCTAGCAATGTAGGCGGTGCAGGCAGGAGTATACTGGAGCTTACTGTCTGCCAGCCTGACGCTGGGTTTAGAGAGAGGCATGGTCTCTAAAGAATGAAGAATGGTAGAACAGGACTCCCATTGTCTTTTCCGGCCACCGTGCCTACATATGTGTCCCCCCCACCCCACCCCCGACACACACACAACACACACAGTCAACTCTAAGTTAGGAATTGTTTCTGCTGTAGATATCAGAAAGCTGGCTATGGTAGAAGCCACTGTGCTGTCTGAGACGGTGTGCTGGCTGACACACCCTTGGGGTCTGTGTCCCCCTTTGTCACTCTGTGGTGTCTGTCTTTCATACCTGATTATTCTACAGACCAATATGGCGACTGTAATTCTAGTCAGCAGGTATAAGCTCCAGCAGGAAGAAAGACTGTACCAAGAAAATGGGACACAGGTCATTCACCAACTGTCTCTTAGAGTCCAAAGGCTGACTCCAACACTCCTGTTTACACTCTGCCAGCACAGTTACCAAAGCAGAACTCCCACTCTACCAAAGAAGGTAGAAACCCGGCAAAGGTTATTCCTAGACCCGGGCTTTGCACTGATTTGCAGGGCACCCTAGGCAAAGGGGAAACTCATTTGGTCGGAAAGGAGTCACGCTTGTTTTTTTTTTTTTTGTTTTGTTTTGGTTTTTTTTTTTCGAGACAGGGTTTCTCTGTGTAGCTTTGCGCCTTTCCTGGATCTCGCGCCGTAGACCAGGCTGGCCTCGAACTTACAGAGATCCGCCTGCCTCTGCCTCCCGAGTGCTGGGATTAAAGGCGTGCGCCACCACCGCCCGGCTCACGCTTGTTTTTATATGCATACATTAATGTGCTTGAATTCTTGTGATTCTGTATTTTCTTACATTGAGTTGGAGGGAGGCAGTTGGGATGCCTTGCAGTCCCTGCCCGGTCCATGTGCTTTTTAACTCGAATCAGTTTTTTGGCAATGGTAACAGTTGTTCTTGAGACAGTCTTACTCTGTAGCCCAGGTTATCCTGGAACTCACTGTTGTAGCCTAGGCTGGCCTCAAACTCTTAGAAGTCCTCCTGGTTCAGCCTCCCAGGTGCTAGGGTTACAGATGTGAATCACCATGCCAGCCTTTGTTTTTGTTTTCTTAGAAGGAGTTTCACTGTGTAGTCCTGACTGGCCTGGAACTCGCTGTTGACCAGGCTAGCCTTAAACTTGCAGGAAATCTTCCTGCCTCTGCCTTCCAGGTGCTAAGATTCTAGGCATATGCCATCATATCCAGCTTGTAAGAGCTTTTTTGTTTGTTTTGTTTTGTCTTTGAGACAGGGTTTCTCTGTGCACCTCTGGCTGTCCTGGAACTCTCTCTGTAGACCAGACTGGCCTCCAACTCAGAGATCTGATTGGCACTGCCTCCTGAGTGCAAGATGAAGATGTGCACCACCATGCACACAGATCTGTCTTAAAAAGATGCTGTCTTTCTAAGTTCTTGCCAAGAGGCCAGTATAACTAACTGCCTTTAGCATTGCCAGATAAGTTACATCTCAACCAACTGGTCCTTATTAAATATTCCCTAATGAAAGTGCCTTGTACACGGAGAGGCATGGGTTCTTACTGTTTGTTTAAATAAATTGTCCTTCAACTTGAATAATACCAAGCACACAAGAAATATCTTTATTCTTACATATTTTCACTTTAGGTAAAGAGATCGACACAGCTCAGGCCGTGTTGGTGGAGGAGGACAGTGAAGGTTCTCATACACAAGGCTAGTGTAGGGTAAGCCCTTGGCTTCTGGGAAGCGGGAGCCATAGCTGACAGTACTGACTTCAGTGCAGACGTTGGGCAATACCGTGTCAGTCACATGGAGGCTGAGATCAACCATAGCCAGTCAGTGACTCGGAAAACTCTGAACACGGAAACGTGGCACACTTTCCTGGTTGCCACGCCACACCCTGAAGCTGGACCAATGCCATGCCTCTACAGGGAGCACAATGTGACCTCTGCATCTAGAAACTTCCTAGACTCCACCTTAGGCATCTCTTCCTTTGGCTGACTTTATACCTTTTCTCTGTCAATCATGCGTGGAACAAGTGTCAGCAAGTGGTCCATGGATTTCTAGTGGATTGCTGATGGTTTAGGGAAACTTCTGAACTTGCAGCTCAAAAATCAAGGCAGGGCTCAGTGGTAAAGGCACTTGCTGCTCAGCCTGATGACCGGAGACCCAGGGACCCACCTGGTGGAAGGAAATATCTAATTCCTGAAAGTTGTCCACACACACACACACACACACACACACACACACACACACACACACACACACACCATGGTGTATATGCGTACACCTCCCAGTAAGTAAAGAAATTGACCTTTTTAAAAAGTGTAGGCACTGTAGGGGGCTGTAGCCACTGAACTCTCTGACCTCAAGCCCCTTGTAGAAGCCTCAATGGAGTCAGCAGCACTGAAGGTAGGCCTTGTGCTAGATGCAATGTGCCAGAGGGAATGTGCTAGAAGAAGAAGTAGAAAAGAGCAGGGAGAACCATCAAGTTAATAAGAGGCCCAAAGTGAACATTCTGTTTAAAGAGAGGGTTCCAGGAGCAGTAGAGCAAAAGGCACTCTTTCTGATTTCATTGTCTTCATGCTCCTAGGAAGGCTGGCCATGTTAGAACTCCTTCTCAAACAGACTGAAGCAAGGTAAAGCCAGAATTTTAGAGAAAACATTTGTATATGCTGGGCTTTCTTTAGGTCAGCGGTTACTAATGACACTCGCCTGAAGTCAAACAGCATCATTCCTAACAAGGATGAGCAAACAGTTCCTCTCTAGATGCCAGAGAGAAATAATGAATACATTTCAAACCAATAATGGGAACAGTTTCCAGTGAGCTCCCTTTAGCTGGGGCCATCCTAGGCGCAAAGACAACCTCAGGAAAAAACAAAATCTCGGCCGGGTGGTGGTGGCGCACGCCTTTAATCCCAGCACTCGGGAGGCAGAGCCAGGCGGATCTCTGTGAGTTCGAGGCCAGCCTGGTCTACAAAGCGAGTTCCAGGAAAGGCGCAAAGCTACACAGAGAAACCCTGTCTCGAAAAACCAAAAAAAAAAAAAAAAAACAAAATCTCAACAGATCAGGAATCTCAGGAACTTGACCGAGTGCTGAAGGAGGAAACAGGATCTCAGTGGCCCAGTTCTGATCGCCCAGTCTTCTAAAAGTTACCGTCTCGAGCCAGTGGGATGGCGCAGTGGGGAAAGACACTGGTCCCCCAAGCCTGATGGTCTGGGCTCAATCCCAGAACTCACATAAAAGTGGAAGGAGAGAGATGACTCTTGAAAACTGTCCTCTGGCGGGGCCGTTGTGGCGCACGCCTTTTTTTAATCCCAGCACTCGGGAGGCAGAGGCAGGCGAATCTCTGTGAGTTCGAGGCCAGCCTGGTCTACAGAGTGAGATCAAGGACAGACTCCAAAACTACACAGAGAAACTCTATCTCGGAAGAAAAAAAAAAAGAAAGAAAGAAAGAAAAGAAAATTGTCCTCTGACTTTCAGAACCATGCTGTAGCATGCACCTCCAGGGAGCAAGGCTGGATTTTGTACCGGTGTTCCTTTCTCTAAGCCCAGCCTCTGCTCCCTGGGCTGTTTGCCATGCTCACTGCAGGAACATCCCGAGTGAGCCGACAGAACTGGGCTCTCTAGAGAAGGCTGGGAATGTGGGGTAGAGGTTGCCAGTGAGTCAAAGGAAATAATGACAGTATTTAGTGATGAGACTCCTGTCATTTTCCTGTTGAAAACCTTGTGACTCTTCTTGGCCCAGAGTTCTAAGGTCAGTTATTGACTCTCACCATAGGTTGTGTAGAGAGCCTGCCTGGTGGAGAGCAAAGAGAGCTGTGTGTGGTGTGTGATGAGCCTGGATTTCTAGCAGTTTTATGTTTGTAAGCCTTATTTCTCTAATGAAATCTGAGCATGTGAAGGGTAGGGAGCTCCCTAAATGCTGATATAATTCCTCGCAAAGCTGAGCACACACCCACTGGGTCTCAAGAAGGTTATTCCTGCCTGGTTGTGGTGGTGGTGGCACATGCCTTTAATCCCAGAATTTGGGAGGCAGAGGCAGGCACATCTCTAAGTTTGAGGCCAGCCTGGTCTATGGAGCAAGTTCCAGGACAGTCAGGCCTACACAGAGAAACTTTGTCTCAAAAAATAAAATAAAATAATAATAATAATAATGAAGGTAATTCTCACCTTCAAGTGTGCTGCTTCTCTCTTTCAGTGAATTTCCAGATGACCCAGGAGTACAGTGGGACACAGAGCGTGTGGCCAACACCCTCCTCCAACACATAAACATCAATGACATCAACCTGGTAAGGCAGTGCCACTCTGAGTGGAAAGCCTAGGCTCCCCATCCTGTCACACGGGCTGGCTTCTGCCGCTTGTCTTGTGGCTGCCTCCCACCCCAGCCCTACTCCAAGCCCACTCTAAAAGGCTGTCTGCTAAACCCACTGAAGAGCAGACATGCCTTCCAGTTACGTTTGACCTTATGTGTGATCAAATGAAACTCACATAGATCAACCTGTTTCTGTCTCTGAAATGCTAGGATTAAAGCCATTCACCAGCATGCCCAGCTAGCCTCCTTTTTTTTTTTGTTTGTTTGCTTGTTTGTTTGTTTTTTGTTTGTTTTTTTTTTTTTTTTGGTTTTTCGAGACAGGGTTTCTCTGTGTAGCTTTGCGCCTTTTCCTGGAACTCACTTGGTAGCCCAGGCTGGCCTCGAACTCACAGGGATCCGCCTGGCTCTGTCTCCTGAGTGCTGGGATTAAAGGCGTGCACCACCACCGCCCGCCCGGCTGTTTTTTTGTTTTTTAGACAGGGTTTCTCTGTGTAGCTTTGGTGCCTGTCCTTGATCTCACTCTGTAGACCAGGCTGGCCTCGAACTCACAGAGATTCGCCTGCCTCTGCCTCCCGAGTGCTGGGATTTAAAAAAGGCGTGCGCCACAACGGCCCCGCCAGAGGACAGTTTTCAAGAGTCATCTCTCTCCTCCCATCTTTATGTGAGTTCTGGGATGGAGCCCAGACCATCAGGTTTGGTGGACCAGTGTCTTTCCCCACTGTGCCATCCCACTGGCTCGAGACGGTAACTTTTAGAAGACTGGGCGATCAGAACTGGGCCACTGAGATCCTGTTTCCTCCTTCAGCACTCGGTCAAGTTCCTGAGATTCCTGATCTGTTGAGATTTTGTTTTTTCCTGAGGTTGTCTTTTTTTTTTTTTTTAGCAAGTTAGGGTTCCAAAATAGTTCTATTGAAATCCTCCTGCCTCGGCCTCCCAAGTGCCGAGATTAAAGTGTGCACCACCACACCTGACCGAAACAGTCCACTTTAAAGTTGACAAGGTTTACTTTCCAAATCTCAAAATAGTAATTCTTCATAGGTTAATAGCTAAAATTTCGCTGTTCAAAGCCTTTCTCATTTGATTGAGTTTTGTTAGAAGAGACTGCTGGATAAGAAGCCTATTGGGCTTTTTTAAAAAAATATTTTCTATATAATCTTTTTTAAAATATTTATTATGTCTACAATGTTCTGCCTGCATGTGTCCCTGCAGGCCAGAAGAGGGCACCAGATCTCATTACGAGTGGCTTTGAGCCACCATGTGGTTGCTGGGAATTGAACCCAGGTCCTCTGGAAGAAGAGTCAGTGCTCTGAATCGCTGAGCCATCTCTCCAGCCCACCTATTGGGCTTTTCAGTCAATGACCCCTTCATTGAGTGAATTGATCCATTAGACCTTTTCTTTTTAAGACTTTTTTTTCTTTTTGTTATGTGAACGTATGAGCCTATGTGAGTATATGTACACCCTGTGTATGCGGGAGCGCATGGAGGCCAGAAAAGGGTGTTGGGTCCCCCGAAATTAGAGTTCAGGTGGTTGCCTGGGTCTCCTGGAAGAGCAGGAAGCGCTGTTAGCCAGTGAGCCATCTTGGCCTCAGCACCCTGCTCTCTTCTGGCAGTGGCTTTCGGAGGAGTACCCCCACTCCCCGTCCTCGTCATCGTGTGTTAGAGCTGTTGGCCACTCCATTTGTAGGAGAAACTCATCATTCCAAACTCGGAAGTCAGGGCCTTTCTCGATCTGGCCCTTACGTCTTGAACACAGGGGAACGGTTTGTCCTCATTAGGGGCCGAGTTTCTTTTACAGCAGCTGGTGGTGCGGCGGACTCAGCAGAGTGCAGGATGACAGGAATGAGTACATTTCCCGTTTCTTTCTTCTTCCTCCATCTTCAAAGACTCTGTGTCAATGTCTGCTTCCTGTCACATGGCCTCTTCCTCTGACCCTCTTGTGCCCTCTGTTAAGGTCACGGTGTTTACACTGAGCCCACCAGCCCACCCAGATGAACCTCTCCATCTTGAAATCCTTAACCACATTTGCAAAATCCCTTTCGCTACATGAAGTAACAACTCAGGGTCCAGGGAGACAGGACATGTGTAGCATGGGTATTATTAAGCCTGCAAAGCAACCTTACTCCACAGCCCTCATTCACACAAGATGGGAGGGCCCGATATTGTTACCATCCTAGGGATGATTTTTAATGGGTCCTAAGCTTCACACTGATGGGTTGAGACTAGGGATCTGCTGGTGGTTAGGGGGAAACAGAAATGTGCTCTTTTCATAGTAAAACCCAGTTCTGATGCCTGGGCCTAGAAAACATCCTCAACAGAGCTCCGGACTCCGGGGGCACTTTCTTTTTGTTTTTTGGTTTTTTTTTTTTTTTTTTGATTTTTCAACACAGAGTTTCTCTGTGTAGTTTTGGTGCCTGTCGTGGATCTTCCTCTGTAGACCAGGCTGGCCTCGAACTCACAGAGATCCGCCTGGCTCTGCCTCCCGAGTGCTGGGATTAAAGGCGTGCGCCACCACTGCCTGGCAGGGGGCACTTTCTAATGATGGTCTGAGACCAATGAATGGTTGGAGGACTATGCCAGAGAGCTTCTGAGTTTCAGGGCTGGGGTTCTAGCCCAGTGGGTAAGTGTTTGTCTAGTATGCACAAGTGCCCTGAGTTTGAATCCCAGCTATGCAAAAATCAAGAAAGAAGGAAAAACTGCTTCTTAGTTTTAAGAAAGGGAACATTTATCCTGGCCATAAAGCCCTTCTCCTTGTCATCACGAGACTGTCTAGGGAATACCCTGAATTGGCACTAACGCCCCATGGTGCTCCTGGAGAAGGAGACCCAGCTCTCATGGTAGCCAAGGCCATTCCAGTGTAAAGAGAAAGACCAAGCCTGAAGCCTGGTATATTGATCCAGGTCTATAATCCCATCATCTGGGAGGTAGAGGCAGGGAGACCAGGAGTTGAAGGCTAGCCTCAGCTACACAGAGAGTTCAAGGCAAGGCTGAGGTACATGAAACATCTCAAAAAAAAAAAAAACAAAAAAAACACACACACACACACACACAAAAAAAAAAAACACCTCATAGTCACAGAAGAAACAGCAAGAATGACTCTTTTCCCGGACGACCTAATTCCAGGTCTAGCCCCTTCATCTGTGCGAGGACACTTTCTGTCCTTGGGGACAGCCCTTCTCTTCCCATCACTCTCTAACCAACCATCTCTGGTCCCTTTCCTGAATCCTGTTTTCTTGTGTTTCTTCTATGATAACATTGACATGTCTGTGCAAATGGACCCAGAGGCAGCCTAAGATAGACTTCCGTGAGCTTGACTCCAGGACGTTGTACTTGTGGTATGGTATGAGGAGAGGAACCCCAGGGAATCAGGCTGCATCTGCCTGACCTGAACAATGCCTATGCAGCAGCCAGCCAAGAAAATAAATGTGCTAGTCAGTGGCCAGGCAGGTAAGAAACAAGTGTCTGTTGAGATAAGTTCTCATGTATCCCAGGCTGGCCTCACACTCATTGTGGATCAAGGATGACCCTAAACTTCTGACCCTCGTGCCTCTCTCCCAGGAACTGGGATCACACACAGGCACCACCGCATCCAAGCTTATGCAGTGCTAAGGAGCAAACCCTGGATTTCATGCATGCTAGGCAAGTTCCACCAACTAAGCCACATCCCCAGCCTACAGCAACGGTATCCTGAGCCTGGGAGACATCTCAGTCAGTAAAGACTTGCCTTGCAAGCATGAGAACTTGTGTTCGATCTCTAGGGCCCGTATTGGAAACAAACAAAATCCAGGCATGGTGCTGTGTGTTTATGAGTCCAGCATGGGGAGAGAGAGGCTCCCTGGCCTGCCAGGGTAGCCTGGTCAGCAAGCTCCAGGCACGTGGGGGAGCGAACCACGCACTGACAGTTGCCACGCACAGCCCTATCTACTTGGGCTGCTCAGAATTTGAAGAGTTTCAGGCTCTGCTCTTCCCTTCCCCAAAGGAGTGGGTGAAGGCTGCTTTGAAGCTGAGGCAGTGGTGAAGCCATCCAAGAGCTCTGAGTGAGCCCTTCCTCCCCGGGTCTGTCCCTACAGGTGGTGACTTTTGATGCAGAAGGAGTCAGTGGTCACAGCAATCATATTGCGTTGTACAAAGCTGTGAGGTATGCTTCTCTGGGTGATGGAAGTGGGAAAGGGTTTCTCCATTTGCTCAAGGGTCACAGTCACTAAAACACCTTCCCGCCTGTTTCCTGAGCCCCAGAAAACTTACGCTTTTGTCATCAGGCATTGTTGCCCTACTGCTCATCCATCTACCCACCTCGCCACACCTTTTTTTGTTTGTTTTTTTAACATGTATGGGTGTTTTGTCTTTATGCATGTCTGTGTACCAGTACACCATGTGCATGCAGTTTCCACAGAGGCCAGAAGATGGCATCAGATACCCCAGGGACTAGAGTTATAGGTGGTTGTGAGCCTTTATGTGGTTGCTGGGAATTGAACCTGGTCCTCTGGAAGAATAGCCAGTGCTATAAACCACTGAGCCATCTCCCTGGCCCCACATCCTCTTTATGAGAACTCCCACAAGTCTTAGTAGGAGTGAGAATGACTGTCTCCTAAATTTTTTATTTTTTAGGTTTTTTTTTTTTAGATTTTCTTTATTTACTGAATATTGTATAGACATATTTTTTTTTTACAAGTTTTTATTGGCCTAGCCAGGAAGTGGTAGCACACACCTTTAATCCCAGCACTAGGAGGCAAAGGAAGGTGGATCTCTATAAGTTTGAGGCCAGCCTGGTTTACATAGTATAGCCCAGGGCTACACCAAGAAACCCTATCTTGAAAAAAACAAAACAAACAAAAAATTTCTTATTGGCCCATACTAAATATACATGACAGTGGGTTGTTCATAATTTTCAGACATGTAGATGATGTGTTTTGATCATATTCATCCTCCATTGCTGTCTCTTCCCCTTCCCTAGGTTAAGAGACTGACTGTCCTTCTTTCCTCCGTGTGTGTGTGTGTGTGTGTGTGTGTGTGTGTGTGTGTGTGTGTGTATGTGTATGTTTGTTGTTGTTTGTTGATTGGTTTTGTTTTTGAGACAGGGTCTTGCTATGTAGTCCTGGCTGGTCTAGAACTCACTATGTAGACCAGGCTGGTCTCAAACTTAACAGTGGACCTCAGGCCTCTGCCTCTTGATGCTGGGATTACAGGAATGCACCTGCCCAGCCCAACGGCTGAATTCTGTTTTTACACCCTGGATAATACAAATGGGTAACTGATTCTATTTCCATCTTGACTTTGGCCACAGAAACCTGACAGGCCAAATCCTCAGCCCCCTAAGTGAATGAAGGAGACTCCAGGAGTGAGACCCGTGGACCAGCACAGGAGTTTTATCATCCTTGCCCGTCCCCCTCACTGATGTTCTGTTAAGTTTCTCCGAAGCTGTTCCCAGACTTTTGCTTTGTTTTAGTGTTTGGAGAAAGATGACGGACATGCATAATATGACGTCCCAATTGTTTGCCTGTTTGCATGCCTATTCTCCAAGCATTTGGGAGACTGTGGCAGGAAGGTCTCAGCATCAGGCATTCTAGGCCACAAGCAAGACTATCGCCCCCCACCCCCCCAAAAAAACCCCACATTTTCCACCACCATCCTATTTTATTGGTGTTTGTGTTCATCTTACCAGTGAAACTGAAATGGAGCCTCAGAAATGGTGCATGACTTAGGGTCAAACAGACACAGACTATGTTCCCTGTCCTCCAGTGATTCTTCTGCAGAGCTCAGGTCCTGTCCTCCATACTGAGGAAGGAAAGGGACACTGGAAAGTCTTGTTTTCCCTTCTTCTAAACATGCTCACCATTCTCCGACGGAAGCTGTCAGCGCTATGAAGTTGGAAGTGACCTCACTGGTCATTGAGTGCAGCCATCTCACTTGCCAGGCAGTGAGGAGGTTTGCCCAGCACAAACTCAACAGCAGCCAAGACAAGACTAGAACTATGTCACCCTGGTCTCCCTCCACGGGGTGCCTCCGTTGGGTGCACATGAAGGCAGACCCAACTTGATGGCTCCCCTGCCACGTTTTTAATTGTATGCAACTTTGGAAGATGCTAGAAATTAGCACTCTCGTATTTTTCCCCAGACAGTTAACACCAGTTCTTTGACTGTGGGATGATGGGAGGCCACACTTTTCTCCCCTCTTGTAAAAACCATCTGTTTCCTGGTCCAACAGAGGCCACAGATACAGTTCTGTGTTAATAGTTGCATTAGGTTCATTCAGAGTTGAGAAAGACACACCACAGGTTTCAGTAGAAGATGCAGTTTTTTGGTGAAGATACACAGAAAAGTGTACATCCCAGGAGTGGACATTTACCCAAACTGGTTATTCCAAGGACTAGACTGCTTGGTGGGTAGGAACAGGGGCTCCACTTCATTCCAGCTCCACACAGAGCCTTATAAATTTGTACCCAAGTATTCAGAAAAAGGGTCAGGTCAAGTTTACTATAAACAAATCAAGAGCACCTTCCCAGACAGTGGGCAGGGCATTTGAGGAGACTTGGTTAGTTCCATCCCCGCTTGTGCTGTGTGTCTTTTGTCAACGTGACACAAGCTGGGGTCATCTGGGAAGAGGGAATGTCGATTAAGAAAAGGCCTCCATCAAATTGGCCTGTAGAAAGGCCTGTGGGGGCATTTTCTTTTTTCTTTTTCTTTTTCTTTTTTTTTCTTTTTAAGATTTATTTATTATGTATACAGTATGCCTGCAGGCCAGAAGAGGGCACCAGATCTCATTGCAGATGGTTGTGAGCCGCCATATGGTTGCTGGGAATTGAACTCAGGACCTCTGAAAGAGCAACCAGTGCTCTTAACCTCTGAGCCATCTCTCCAGCCCGGGGGCATTTTCTTGATGGATGATTGATGTAGGAGGGCCAGGCCTACTGTGTGTGGTGCCCCCCCGATGCCAGGTGGTCCTGGGGTGTACAAGAAAGCAGGCTGAGCAAGCCAAAAGTAGCAAGTGAGTAAGCAGTGTTCCTCTATGGCCTCTGCTTCAGTTCCTGCCTCCAGGTTCCTGGAGTTCTTGACCCGACTTCCCTATAATAGACAGTGATCTGGGAGTTTTAAGATGAAATAAACCCTTTCCTCCCAAAGTTGCTTCTGGTCGTGATCTTTATCACAGCAATAGAAAGCTAACCAGGACACTAGTCAACACTGAAATGGAGGCACAGGAAGAGCAGGGAACTCGAGGGCACAGCTTTCTGCAAACAGGCCTGCCTGCAGCTGGTGTTTCTTCCGAAGCGGGAGTGCCACGGGCTCTCAGAATTCATGAGTTCTCAGCACTAATGTGGGCCCTGTACTTCAGGTAAAGCAACATGTGGGCATGCTGACCAGCCACTGAAACTTTTCTCCACCTGTCCGTTAAACCCATCAGACTCACCTTCGTCCTCGCCTGCCTGTGCCCTTCTGTGGTATTTGGCCCTGTCACTCATCACAGTGCTGCTTTGGGGGGCTGGAGAGATGGCTCAGAGGTTAAGAGCACTGGCTGCTCTTCCAGAGGTCCTGAATTCAATTCCCAGCAACCACATGGTGGCTCACAACCATCTGTAATGAGATCTGGCGCCCTCTTCTGTATACATAATAAATAAATAAATCTTAAAAAAAAAAAAATGCGCCGGGCGGTGGTGGCGCACGCCTTTAATCCCAGCACTCGGGAGGCAGAGGCCGGCGGATCTCTGTGAGTTCGAGGCCAGCCTGGGCTACCAAGTGAGTTCCAGGAAAGGCGCAAAAATACACAGAGAAACCCTGTCTCAAAAAACCAAAAAAAAAAAAAAAAAAAAAAAATGCTGCTTTGACTTGCTGACACTGGCTGATGTTCCCACCACTGGTCTCCCTGGTCATCTCCCAGTCTCTTCCTGTCTTCCTTCCTACCCAAGGCCCCTCAGTGTCCCTGTGCCCAGGGCTTCCTTCGCAGCCATGCTCAATAAGGTTCTTCAAGGGTTGTGAGGGCTGTGAATGGGATTCCCTGGTGTGTGCCTCCAGTTCTCACCTCTATACCAGTGCATCCACCTCAAAGTCACACTATTCCCAGGCTCTGCCCAGGGTGCAGGACAGGGCATCTCCTCAGCATCCCAGAAACCTCTTTCAGAGTTTTCTGCTTCTTAAGGTTCCCATGCACTTATCAACTCTCTTCTTGACTTCTTCACTTTAGCCCCTGCCCCTGAGCCCCTCTTTGTGTGTGTGTGTGTGTGTGTGTGTGTGTGTGTGTGTTGTCTGGGTCTAGCCGCTTCTCCTTCTGTGTCCCCAGTCTTCTGATAACAAAGCCAGGAAGCAATCCACAGTTTAGTGGTGTTAGATTTACTGTGCCCCTCTCTAGAGCAGTGAGCTCAGAGCAACTTTCATTGTCACACAGTGGGAGTGAGGGGGCCAGAAGGAGAAAGGAGATACTAGGGGAGAAACATCCGTTAACATGTTCAAACATTCCTTCACTATACACATAATTTTTTTTTTAATTTTTCAAGGCAGGGTTTCTCTGTGCAACAGCTCTGGCTATCTTGGAATTCACTCTGTAGACCAGGCTGGCCTTGAACTCAAAGAGATCTACCTGCCTCTGCCTCCTGAATGTATAATTTCTTGTTTGTTTATTTGTTTTTGTTTTTTCAAGGCACTGTCTCTGTGTAGCCCTGGCTGTCCTGGAACTCACTCTGTAGCCCAGGCTGGTCTTGAACTCACAGAGATCTATCTGCCTTTGCCTCCTGAGGGCTGGGATTAAAGGCTTGCGCCACCAAGCCCAGCTAATTCACATTACTATTTCAAGAGAAAAAAAAATTTGAGGATAGTTATCCTCATCTTTAATGGGTCAAACTTGGGTCAGATTGTTCCATAAGCCATACCCAGCTTCTGCATTAAGCTGAGTGGGAATGAAATGACCACTCTGGTCCTCTCAGCAATAGCCAGGAATCCTGTATATTTAGATATGTATATATACATATATATATAACATATAGATATGTTTATGCAGTAGAAACCACTGGGAGCCTGTGTGTTGGGGCATGGGCCACACAAGCCTTGCTCTAATGTCCCTCCTGTTAACACAGAGAAGTAGGTGACTCGTACCCTCTCTAATGCTTGTCCTCTCCATCCTCCAGGGCCCTGCACTCAGAAGGGAAGCTGCCTAAAGGTGAGGAAGCCCTGGTTTTATTGCAGATAGACAATGCTTACTATCCCTTTAAGAAATGTACCAAGCGCCGGCGGTGGTGGCGCATGCCTTTAATCCCAGCACTCGGGAGGCAGAGGCAGGTGGATCTCTGTGAGTTCAAGGCCAGCCTGGACTACCAAGTGAGTTCCAGGAAAGGTGCAAAGCTACACAGAGAAACTCTGTCTCAAAAAACCAAAAAAAAAAAAAAAGAAAGAAAAAGAAAAAGAAAAAGAAAAAGAAAGAAAGAAATGTACCAAGGACGTTTGCAAATATTGTTGGCCCTCCATATCTATAGGTTTCTATGTATCTATGGATTTCACAACCTGGGATCAAAATTATTCAAGGGGATGCTGGAGACATGGCTCCCCAGTTAAGAGCACTTACTACACTTACAGAAGCCCTGGGTTCAGTTCCCTGCACCTGTATCAGGCAGATTACAACAACCTATAACTCCAGTTCCAGGGACATCAGTGCACATAAATTCATGCAGGCATACACACATGCACATGCACAAATAAAAATATTTTTAAATATGCAAGGAGGAAAAGGGCGCCTGTACTAAACATGCAGATTCTTTTCTCTTCACTGGTCCCTAGACAATGCAATATAGCAACTATTTCTATGACATTGACCTTATATTAGGGATTATAAGTAACCTAGAGATGATTTAACATGTACAAGAGGGTGTGGGTAGGTTCTATGTAAATACTGTGCCATTCTCTATGACAGACTTGAGTATCCATAATTGCAGTATTTGTGGGAATCCTAGAACAGTACCACTGTGGACTTAATGACACCTATACACAGAGCAGCCCTAGACTGTGCACGTGTGGGAAGGTGGGTCACTCACTCTCCCCGAATCAGTCTGGTGTGTATGACAGGTCCAGACTGCATCCACTGCCGAGCACCCTATCTAGTTTCCTCCCAGGGAAGGTAGCTCTCTTCCACCGCTGGCATTTTGTTAGTCTGCCCAGATTTACTTCCCATCACCCACTTATTAGGGGGTTATAAGTGCCTCACAAGTTACTTAAAAATTGATGAGCTTGAAATAGTAATACTTTCTAGACCCCAGTGAAGCATAGGACCTCACTGGCCATTCACTGCCTGGGAGGCATAGGACCCCACTGGCCATTCACTGTTTGGGAGGCATAGGACCTCACTGGCCATTCACTGCCTGGGAGGCATAGGACCTCACTGGCCATTCACTGTTTGGGAGGCATAGGACCTCACTGGCCATTCACTGCCTGGGAGACATAGGACCCCACTGGCCATTCACTGTCTGGGAGGCATAGGACCCCACTGGCCATTTGCTGCCTGGTGTCCCTCTCTACTTCTCTGAGCAAGTTCTGGCCTGGCCCGCCTCACAGGGGTGACGTGAGATCAGAAAGTGAAACGTAGGTGACATGTGCTGTCTTCACAGGCTGAGGCCTTCGGAGCACAGGTGTGTTCCATTTGGCTCTTCTGTCCACCGTGTCAGATGGGCAGCCCCTACACCAGCGACACTAGTTTAGCAACTAGGAAGCTAAAACCCAGAGCTTAAGGGACTTTCCACGCCATTTTTTTTTTCCAGAGACAGGGTCTCACTCTGAAGCCTAGGCTGAGCTCAAACTCGATATGTATCCAGGCTTGCCTGGGACTCAATCCACCTGTCTCTGCCTTCCAAGTACTGGGATTACAGGTGAAAGCCACCACACCCAGCGCCTCGTGTTAGAGCAAGGCCGAAATGAGTCTTTAGCCTCCTGACTCAGAAATTCCTGTCTCCATCGTCTGTCCTCCGCCCTCTAGCACCCCCTTCCTCTTACAGTGACAGAAACAGAGGGTGGGGAGTTTCTGTGGCCCTGTCACTCTCCCCATACGGGAGAGTACTGGTCAGAGAGCAATTCCGGTGCACAAGGAACATCTGGAGAGCAGCTGCTCGCTGCCTGCCTTGTGCCACCCGGAGAGGGAGGGTGCTCAGGGAGACACCTGGCTGAGAGCAACAACGTGATCCCGTCTGCCATCCCTCCTTGCCCAGGGTGTTCTGTACTCACTCTGCAGTCTGTGAATGTGCTGCGGAAGTATCTCTACTTCCTGGATCTGCCCTGGTCTCTACTGTCACCCCAGGATGTCCTCTTCATGCTCACCAGCCAAGAAGTGGCGCGGGCCAAGGTAAGGATTGTACTTCCTGCACACTGCATTGTGAACCCAGCCTCAGGCCCTTGGCTCCTCAAAGCCCTGTGACCTGCAAAGCCCCCTCCACAGGAAGGAGGCCTGCCTCGCTTGCTAGGCTATTTCAGCTGCACCTGACAGGTATACATTTTCAATGACTTGGGCTTTTTTTTTTTTTTTTTCTGATTATAAAAACTTTAAATAAATAAATGGCGCATGCTCATTTTAGGAAACTCAGAAATACATAACAGCATCAGTAAAATGAAAATAAGGAGCTAGAGAGATGGCTCAGCAGCTAAGAGCACTTGATGCTCTTGCAGGGGACCTGGGTTCAGTTCCCAACACCCACACTGAGCAGCCCACAACCATCTATAACTCCAGTTCCAGGGGTTCTGTCACCCTCTTTGGCCTCCATGGGTACTGTACCTAAGGGGTGCACATTCATGTACTCAAGCATACACATACATATAAAATAAATCTTAAAAAAAAAAAAGCTGGCAGTGGGGCAGGTGACCCTGAGAATCATTGGAGTTGGGGGCAGGGAACTGTGAGTTGATGTGCCTTGCTCTGGGGAGAAGGGGAGATCTGAAAATAACAGTTCCAGAGCCAGTGTCCATCTTTGGTCCTCTTTGATTCTTCCAGAAGGCCATGTCCTGCCACCACAGTCAGCTCCTCTGGTTCCGCCGCCTCTACATCATCTTCTCCAGATACATGAGAATCAACTCACTACAGTTTCTCTGAAGCCAAGACGAGTTTTCAGAACAAAGGGAGAAACAAATCAAGAAGTCCTTGGGCCTGGCTTTGGGCTGGCTTGTCTCCTTAGCCCAGGAGATCCCAGCAAAGCAGCCTCTGAGAACGAACCATGTGGACAACACGTCACACAGACCTAGCTTCCTCCTTAGGGAGGAAACCACCGAGACTCCAGACTACACCAATGCAATAAGAGCTACCCCACCAGTTTACCAATTCTTGTAAAAACTAGTTGGCATGATAACAGAGTGTGTATCAAACATCTAGCAAGGCCTGGGCAGGTTGCCTCTACCATAAATGAATGTAAAGGTGCCATAAAAATAGTTCACACTGGGGCTGGAGAGATGGCTCAGAGTTTAAGAGCACTGGCTGCTCTTCCAGAGGTCCTGAGTTCAAATTACCCAGCAACCACATGGTGCCTCACAGCCATTTATAATGAGATCTGGTACCCTCTTCTGGTATACAGACAGACTGTATACATAATAAATAAATCTTTAAAAAAAAAAATAGTTCACAGATGTGACTCTTCCGAAGCAGGCTGTTTTGGTCAGTCTCCTGTTCCTGTAAGGGAAAACCACAGACCAGGCGGTCTCTAGAATTGAGGTTTCCTTAGCTCAAACTTCTGAGGGCAGGCCGGGCGGTGGTGGCGCACGCCTTTAACCCCAGCACTCGGGAGGCAGAGCCAGGTGGATCTCTGTGAGTTCGAGGCCAGCCTGGACTACCAAGTGAGTTCCAGGAAAAGTGCAAAGCTACACAGAGAAACCCTGTCTCGAAAAACCAAAAACAAAAAAAACAAAACAAAAAACTTCTGAGGGCTGTGAAGTCCAAGAGCATAGCAGCCTCTCCATCACAGTGGGGGGCTTCTCGCTGCACCTCAAAGGCCAAGGCAGTCACTGGACACAGAGCAAGTGAGCCAGAGAGAGCTCCTTTAGAGCAAAACCACACCTACAACAAGTGACCTGTCACCTCCAAAAGGTCTCACCTCTAAACACTGGTGCTTAAAATTCTAGCCAAACCATAACACAGGTTCAACACACACACACACACACACACACACACACACACACACACACACACACACACACACTTCACTTGGTTCAGTCATAATTCTGTGGGGTTTTGTGGCCCCCTTACCAGAACTTTAGTCTAGGTAGACTGTACTTTATCACCATGGTGGTGCTGGTGTGTGTGTAGATGGTCATATGGGTCCTCGATTTGAGGAGCCAATAAACATATCGGTTCTCTGCGTTTTGAAGGTAGGAGCTGGGCGAACACCTTTAATCCCAGAACTTGGAAGGCAAAGGCAGGCACAGGTGGATCTCTGTGAGTTCGAGACCAGTATGATCTTCATAGTAAGTTTCAGAATAGCCAGAACTATGGAGAGAGACCCTGTCTCAAAAAGAAAAACAAAGAAGTAGGAAATAGAGAAAAGAGAAACCTGGAACCTTTTTTTTTTGTTTTTTTGTTTGTTTGTTTGTTTTTTTGAGACAGGGTTTCTCTGTGTAGCTTTGCGCCTTTCCTGGAACTCACTTGGTAGCCCAGGCTGGCCTCAAACTCACAGAGATCCTCCTGGCTCTGCCTCCCAAGTGCTGGGATTAAAGGCGTGCGCCACCACCGCCCGGCTTGGAACCTTTTTTTTAAGCACTCAAAAATCCAATGTCAACCAGGCAGGGGCAGCGTACATCTAATCCCAGCACTTAGGAGGCAGAAGCAGGCAGATCTCTGAGTTTGAAGCCAGCCTGGTCTACAAAGTGAGTTCCAGGACAGCCAGGGCTACACAGAGAAAGCTGGTCTTGAAATAGAAACAAAAAAAGAATCCGATGTTGCCGAGCATGGTGGCACACATCTATAATTCCAGTACTCAGAAGGCAGACAGAGGGCAGCTCTGTCTGCATGTGGAGTGCCATAATGAAACCCATTAACTCATATGCTAACTTAAAAGATTAATAAAAACACACATATATGGATATATACAGTATTGACAGATCTTTGTGGGGTTCAAAAGGGCACTGAGATGGATTGTCTTCTGGGTAGGAAATTTACTAGAAGAGTTATTAACACTATGGGCAGACAGACATGAGACCTTGTCCCCCCCCAAAAAAAAACCCACAAAAACAAATCAAATAAATAAAAACTACCATTCTAAGCCAGACAGGAAAGTGTACACCTTTAATCCCAGCATTGGTGGGTCTCTGTGCATCCTAGCCAGGCTGGTCTACATAGTGAGTCAGCCAGTGCTACACAGTGAGACTCTCAGAAAACAAAAACAACCTGGGCGTGGTGGCACACCCTTTTAATCCAGTAGAGGCAGGCAGAGCTCTGTGACTTAGAGGCCAGTCTGGTCTACAAATCGAGTTCCTGGACAGCCAGTGCTATACAGAGAAACCCTGTCTTGAAAAAACCCAAACCAACCAAACAAAATGCATAGAATTACAATGCTTCCAGGTAGTGACATTTGAGAATTATTTCGTGCCTGTTCATATTTGTTTCACTATATATCGTAAATTAAGAAGTTGGGGATAGTAGCTCGGTTGGTATAGTGCTCGCCTAGGTCTGGTCTCCAGCACAGCATAAACTTGTGTGCCAACATTTGGGCTGTGGAGGCAGGAGTATCAGAAATTCAGGGTCATGATCAGATACATAGCAAGTTTGAAATCAACCCAGGCTAACAGGAGACTCTCTAAAAATAAATAATACGGAAAAATCTAGGATGGATTTTGTTTTGTTTTGTTTTGTTTTGTTTTGTTTTCCAAGACAAGGTTTTTCTGTGTTAGCCTTGACTGTCCTGGAACTGCTCTGTAGGCCAAGCTGACATGGAACTTGGAGATCCATCTGCCTCTGTCTCCCAAGTGCTGAGAATAATGGCGTATGCCAACACCACCCAGAATGGAAGGAATATTTTTAATGGTATTTTATTTGCTGATTGCCCAATTGATGCTATTTCTCTGCGAGTACCTTCTGTGGGACTGCTTAAACAGTCTCCATTCATGACCCCCTTTCACCTGAGAAAGTTTTACACAACCCCAGATATACAGGTATATAAATAGGTATATAAATCAAGCATTTACTGATAATATATCATAAAGAACTCTTTCAAAATAATTCTTTGGTATACATGGAATTTTGCCATTTAAGGAAAACTAAATCTGCATACTGAGATGGACATGCTTGCTTATTTAATATAAAAAATTAAGTTCTGGCTGAGTACTTGATGCCACAAGGCACCGCACCTTCAATATTTTTCATAGATGATCAATATTTTGATTTTATTGTCATTAGTGACAGTGTCTATTCCTGTAGATACATAGTACAAAATGGCAGAAGTATACTTAGGAATGTTTCAGAAATTGATGAGAGTTAAGTTTCAAACCCAGACAAACAGCTGGGGTGTGGTGATATACTGTGTCCCCCAATATATTGTGTGCCCTAATAAAATTTATCTGGGGTCAGAGAACAGAACAGCCACTAGATTAGATATAGTAGCCAGGCAGTGGTGGCACACACCCTTAATCCTTGCATCCCGGAGGCAGAGATTCATCCAGATCTCTGTGAGTTCAAGGCCACACTGGAAAGAGGGCCAGGCATAGTGGCACACACCTTTACTCCCAGCACTTGAGATCTCATGTCTTTGCTTGGGAAAGACACATGCCTTTAATCCCGGGAAGTGATGGCAGGAAGCAGAAAAGTATATAAAGGCGTGAGGACCAGGAACTAGAGGCTTTTAAGCTTTTAGCAGCAGTTCAACTGAGACCCTCAGGGGTCAGGACTCAGAGGCTTTCAGTCTGAGGATTCATGGACACAGGACTGGTTGAGGGGTTGTTGAGGTGAGGTTGGCTGTGGCTTGTTCTGTTTCTCTGATCTTTCAGAAATTACCCAATATCTGGCTTCAGATTCTCTATTTATAAGACCGTGTAACAATTCCTGTTACACTGAGGTGCCTGGTAGACCTGGCCAATAGGTTCTCCCAGCATCCCTCCATCCCTACCTGTTGCAGGTAGGGTATTGGTATGCCAGTCATACCAATACCCTCTACCCTGAACTCTCCAGCCCAAGGGCTGGGCTACCCTTCCCCCAGAGGCTCTTCCCAATATAATCCACACATTTTGGGTTGTCCCTTTTGTACCTTTGGCCTCCTGGCTGCTGCTGGTTCCCCTCTCTCCCCTCTCCCTGCCTCTCCATATGGCCTAGCTCAGGCTGGTCATGTCCACTCTGGACTTTCCTAGATGTCCTGGTCTATGGTGATATTTTATTTGTATTAAAATGTCATTTGTATGTTAATAAATAAAGTTGCCCGGGGGTCAGAGCTATTAGCAAGCCATAGGAAAGCAGGGCAGTGGTGGCGTACGCTTGTAATTCCAGCACTTAGTAGGCAGAGCTGGGTAAGTCTCTGTGTGTTCAGGGATACAGCCAGTATTGGATACACATGCCTTTAATCTCAATACCAATCATAGAAAACCTGGAGGTCTATACAGACAGGCCGTGACGAGGCGGTCTTGTGGTTGGGTTTACAACCAATGAGAAAGCAGAATAGAAACTATATATAAAGACTTTAACACAGGGGTAGCTCTGGTTCAGAGAGGTAGGACCACCACAGGAGGAAGGGTAAGGCTTTAGCTCTTAGCTCTGACCTCTTGGCTTTCTTCTTTGCATTGGTTCTGTGTTTCTTATTTAATAAGATGGTTGGAGCCGGGCGGTGGTGGCGCACGCCTTTAATCCCAGCACTCGGGAGGCAGAGCCAGGTGGATCTCTGTGAGTTCGAGGCCAGCCTGGGCTACCAAGTGAGTTCCAGGAAAGGCGCAAAGCTACACAGAGAAACCCTGTCTCAAAAAACCAAAAAAAAAAAAAAAAAAAAAAAAAAAAAAAAAAAAAAATAAGAAGGTTGGATACATCTACACTGGTCTACGCTTCTATCTATGCTCTCCCTCCTATCTTCAATAAACTTTCTCCTCCACCATACCTAGGAGTAGACATGTCCTTTCCTTTTTATTTTTTTTTCAAGAAGGTATAATAAAAGTGAATGTTCATAATTGGAACAAGACTTAAGTCAATTCATCAGAACTCATCAAATCATAAGTGGCTTTTATTTCTTAAAAAATAAAAAATATCCAGGCATGGTGGTGCACACCTTTAATCCCAGCACTCAGGAGGTAGAGGCAGGCAGATCTCTGTGAGTTTGAGGCTAGCCTGGTCTACAAACTGAGTTCCAGGTCAGCCAGGGCTGTTACATAGAGAAACTGTCTTGAAAAACTAACTAAAGAAGGAAAGAAGGAAGGAAGGAGGGAGGGAGGGAAGGAGGGAAAGGAAGGAAGGAATAAAATAAAAAGAGGCCAGCTCAGTCTACATAGTGAGTTCCAGGATAGCCAGGGTTACAGAGAGACCCTGTCTAAAAAGGCCCACACGGTGGTGCACTCTCAGGATGCTGAAGCAGAAGGATTTCAAATTTAAAGCCACCACGATCTACATGGCAAGACATTCTCTCTAAAAACCAAACGAAAACACAAACTAATTCACATTTGCCTCATTAAGCCTTCCATGTCATTCAACTTGTAACAATTACAGGCAGGCCCAAAGTACTCGACACACTAGAAAACGCTCTTTCCTGGGATCATGGTTATGATCTGCAGAGCCCAAGCGGAAACTTAATAACCTATTGCCTTTCAATTTGCTTTGCTCTGTAGTTGTGACAGGAGGGAGATAGAAGCATTCTAAGGTCTCTTCTGGAGGGGAGGGGTGCTGGGGTGAGAGGGTACAGTGTCAAGATGCAGAAGGACAAATAACAGGGTAGAGATTGTTAGTCATGGACAAGCATTGTATCCAAATTCACCAGGGGGAAATTTAAAAGGCTGCAAAACAGCTGGGGATGCAGCTCAGAGAAGTGGTTGCCTAGGATGCGTGGAGCCCTGGGTCTGATTTCCAGTGCGATATAAACAGGGTGTGGTGGTGCATGCTGTAATCTCAGCACTCAGGAGATGAGGGCAGGGCATCAGAACTTCAAGGTGGTGCCTTTAATCCCAGCACTCGGGAGGTAGAGGTAGGTGGATCTCTGTGAGTTGGAGGCCAGCCTGGTCTACAGAGGGAGCAGCAGGACAAGCAGTGTTACACATAGAAGCTCTGTCTTGGAAAAACAAAACAAAACAAAACAAAAACAAACCCACAACAGTAAGAAGGCAGATGCTGGGGTGAAAACCTGCTAGCTCAGAGAGGCAGAGAAAGCAGCAGGGTGACCTTCCTCCTCTACCTTTGTCTCAGAAAGAAAGCTCTGTTCTAAGCCCTCTGAAACGAGAGTTCCTCCTCCCAGCTGTCCCTCCCTTCTACTTCCTGTGCTTCTCTCCCTGACCTTTCAACTTCCCTCACTCTATGGTTACTTCAGGTCAACTGGTTGCTTGCTCCACCTCTTGACCTATGGTTGATTTTATGTACATAATGAAATCTCAGGGCTCACACTGTGACCAAATAACCTGCAATCCATAGCAAAGGGAAGAACTGACTCTGCAAGTTGCCCTCTGACTTCCAAGCATGCTGTGGAATACACACAGACAGACACAGACACACATACATACACACACACACACGCACGCACGCACGCACGCACGCACGCACGCACGCACACATGCACACAGACACAGTATAAACAAAAATGTTTTTTTAAATAGATGAGAAGAAATGAAGGGTACTGTGGTGGTCTGAAAAAAAATGACCCCCAAATGGAGTGGCACTATTAGGAGGTGTGGCCTTGTTTGGAGGAAGTCAGGGCTTTGAGGTCTCCTGTGCTTAAACTAAGCCCAGTTCACTTCCTGTTGCCTACAGATCAAGATGTAGAACTCTTAGCTCCTTCTCCAGCACCATATCTGCCTGCACACAGCCAGGATGATAATAGACTAAACCTCTGAAACTGTAAACCAGTTGTAATGTTTTCCTTTATAACAGTTGCCATGGTCATGGTGTCTCTTCACAGCAACAGAAACCCTAAGACAGACACAGATTTGAAAACACAACTTGTACATTAACATTTCAAATTGATGAATGGATGGTTGGTTCGTCAAAGGAAATGTTGACAACCTGTTACCCCTTTCAATGTTATGGAGGTCAACTCCTCTCTCGCACCTTTCACAGGATCTAGCAGGGTAGATGGGGTTGGAGAAGGTTAACTGCAAAAGGAAAAAAGAAGCTGGGTATGGTGGTGCACCTTTAGTCTCAGAACTTGCGAGGCAGAGGCAGGTGGATCTCTAAGTTCAAAGCCTGCCTGGTCTGCAGAGCAAGTTTCAGGACAGGCAGGACTACACAGAGAAACCCCATCTACAAACAAACAAACAAAATTTTAGTGGCTCAGCAGTTAATGGCACTGATTGCTCTTGCAGAGGTCCTGAGTTCAATTCCCAGCACCCACGTGTTGGCTCACAACCAACTATAATGGTATCTGATGATCTTTTCTGGTATGCAGGCACACATGCAAATAGAGTACTCATATACATAAAATACATAAATAAATACATCTTTTTTAAAAAATTAAATTTACAAAATACCTTTTTAATTAAAAAAATGAAGAATGCCTGGAATTTTTGGTATTGTCTGTTTTTGAGACTGTGTCTGTGAAGTCTGGGCCATTTAGAACTTGCTATTCAGACCACCTGGCATGGAACTTGCCACAGTCCTCCAGCTTCTGACTCTTGAATACTGGGATGGATTACAGGCATGGGAAAACGTGGAGTTCGGACTCCACAAGACCAGTTTCTGTGGGGTGCGTAGCCCTAGGGCCGTCTGACTTTGACCAGTTAATAACAATGTGGGTTTCTACCAGCAAGCCAAGAAACTTGTCTTGACTTCCTTTCCCTAACTCTTTGGCCTGTAGTCTACCCTACAAACTCATGGAGGTCAGAGGACAACTTTCAGGAGTGGGTTCTCTCCTCCTGCCATGGGTTCCTGGGATCTAGCTCGGGTTGTCAGGCTTGAGAGATTTTAGCCGCTGAGCTGCAAATTAGGACATTTTCTGATGTAACTGCTTTGGTGACTCTTCCCCTCAGTGTTTTCAATGGCTCCTAGACTGTCTCCTTTACGTTTCCATCATGCAGCTTTTCCCAAAAGTCCCTTTAACTGCCAAGCACTGAACATCCTGGAGTAGTTAATAAACATTTGCTCTTTGTTTTAATAAAACTAATGAGGTGATTTGTGAGGCAGACTACATCATACAGGGACATGTGCTAATAATTTTTAAATGCTGTAATGAAAATAAATACTTTGCTAACTTTAAAAAGAAAAGATTTACTAGATGAGCTATTCAACTATTTTAAATATTAGAGTTTCTAGGAAATACCAAGTATTTAATAAACAAGTGTATTACATTAAAATGTTTGTACAACAGGCTGGCTTTATTTGTCTTGGTCAAAGCTGCTTTCAGTTTCTTAATACCTTTACAATAAAAGCCAAACTTCTGATACTAAAACCTCAGTCAGTGACTATCCAAATCTTCCTTTTTCATTGTTTTTTTTTTATGTATGTGTGTGGTATGTGCATATGTAGAATCTGTGTTGTATCCATGTGTGGTTAAGATGCTACATTTTACGTTACACCTATCTTACCACAATTAAAGAGAGGAAAAACGTGGTTAAGGCTGTTGCCTAGCATGCAGTGGCCCTGGCTGGGAAGCGCAGCACATGACAACAGAAAATCAAAATAAACAAAGAAGCTTGGTTTACCTTATAAAAAAATGTAGTAGCACACGCTTATAACCTAGCACACAGGAGGCTGAGGCAGAAGTGCCGAGTCACAGGTCAGCCTGGGCTACATAATGAAACTATGAAAAGAAAGAGAGAAAAAGGGGAGACCACCACCACCCACGGAGCGCCCACCGTGACGAAAATTAACGAATACACGAATAAGAAAGAAACTAAAAGTTCAAGCCCAGAGTGACTCCTGCCACAGTCTCCTCAGGTCTTCCTGGACTAGCCGTGTGCCCTGTGAGCACCTGGGGTCCACATCTTCACAACTCACGGACTTCGGTCGTTCAGTCTTCCAATCGTACTTGCTGGTCCCGTCTTATCTCTTCTCAGTTTGGCTGCAGGTGTCTTATCGGTGCCGACTACTTTAATCTGCTGCTAAGTGACAGGCCTCAGAGGCAAAAGTCAAAGGTCAAAGGAATGAGGGACCACAGTAATAGCGTTTAATGTCAGAAATGTTTATTTTCTAAAAGATCACACAAAAGTTGGTGAAGGGAGAAGGTCAACTGTCTTACATGAAATCCGGGCTAAGGGCAGAGCTGCCGAAAGAAATGGTGGCTGGAGCGAACCGCAGGGACACTGGGAGTGGAGAGGGCGGCCCAGGTCTGCACAGCGACACACACCCACGCAACCCACAGGGCTGCTGCCCTGCTCACTCCGTCTCTGGAAGGAGGAGCAGGAGCTCACTCTTTAGACATGTTCTTGATGGTCTTGTGCTCCTTCATGGCTCTCTCCCAGTCACTGCCATTGAATTCCTCAGTGACCACACTCCGAACAGTGCCTTCATCCAGGCAGTGGGGGGCGATTCCTAGGGGCAAGTGGAACAGAGAGAGGGGTTCCAAGTGTGGGTAAGACCAGAGACTGAGACAAGCCTCACCTGCGGGCACCTTTATCCCGCATGTGAGCTATCTGAGTGGTGTGTTCTAGCTTGCCACCTCCACTTTTGAGGCTGTGTGGCCAGCTGATGTACTAAGAACGTTCTAGCTCGGCCTATGTCTTCAGCATTCTGGCTTATGGTCCTTACCTGCCACGTGAAGGCCAGATACCCTGAATGAGGGTCAGCCAATGCTGGGCAGCATTCAAAGCCTGAGGCCTGGGACACAGCTCAGTGGTAGAACACTTGCCTAGTGAATATATAAGGCCCTATGGTCAATCCCCAGTACAGGGAGTGGGGGTGGGCTGAATGTGGAAAGGATTAGAAAGGTTCAGGCCTGGCCCAATTCTCAGGCCTTTCCTGGGTTTAGATAGATACAGAATTAAATACTTCTCAATTTACACAGGACTTTGTAACTATTAAAACACTTTCCTGAGCAGGCATAGTGGCACATGCCTTAATCTTATCAATCAGGTAGCAGAAGCAAGAAGCCTGTCAGGAGGCTAGCCTGGACTACACACAGGAAGACAGGATCTCAAAACCAAACCCACACAAAGCAATCCACAAACAACAACAACAAAAACCCCCTTCCTGTTTCAAGGTAACCAGGATCTGTCAAACCAGGGAGCAGCAGCAGCTGCTTCTGAAGACTTGGGGTAGAGAGACTGGCATGCTGTCCTGCCTTCTCCTCCATGTGCCAGGAGACAGGCACAGGCATAGCACAGCTGCGTCCGCAGCTCCAGCAGCTACTTACTACCCAGGGACATGTCAGCCTCATTTCACTCTGTCTAAGGGCCGGTTGTATCCAGCCCACCCCCAGATCAAGCAGGGCCTGAAAAGGGCTCTGGAGGCCCCTCTTGCTTCTTTTTTGAAGTATATATTTAGTTTCTGTGTACAGTGTATTATATCTGTGGACCACGTGTGTGCAAGCCTGGTGCCGTGCAGAAGAACAGAGGGCACTGGACCCGAGATTACAGACAGTTAGCAGCCATCTTCTGATGCTGGAAACCAAACGCAGGTCCTCTGCAAGATCAGCCAGTGATCTTAACCACTGAGCTGACTCTCCAGCTCCCCCATCTTTTGAGACAGGATGTCTAGCCTAGACTTACCACGAACTAGCTATATAGCTGAAAATGATCTTGAACTTTCGATAACTCTGTCTTCATCTTTCGAGTGCTGGGAGTACAGGTGTACACCACCACACCTGGATTTCTTACTTCTTTGTTTGTTTGGTTTTGAGTTTTTGAGACAGGGTTTCTCTGTGTAGCCCTGGCTGTCCTGGAACTCACTTTGTAGACCAGGCTGGCCTCGAACTCACAGATATCGATCCACCTGCCTCTGCCTCCCAAGTGCTGGGATCAAAGGTATGCACCACTACACCTGGCCCTTTTTTCTTTTTTGAACAAACCAAATTAAATTTTTTTTATCTATCTAGTTAGGGACAAGGTGAAGATCCTGCATGCCAGGCAAGTGCTCACTACCACCGAGCTACAGCTATAGCCCTGAATTTTGTTTTCAAATAACATCAGCAAGAGCCATCATCCTGGGTCTTCTCTCCCTTTACACGTCATTACTCCAGTGGCCTCCCCTGAACCTAAGGCCCATTTCCCACCCACCTTTTTTATTATTTATGTATTTAATGTGTATAGGTGTTTAGCCTGCATACACCACATGCATACAGTGCCCATAGAGACCAGAGGAAGATGCCAGATCCCCAAGACTGGAGTTACAAATAGATTGAGAATAGGAATCGAACCCTGGTCCTCTGGAAGAGCAGCCAGTATTCTTAACCACTGAGCCTCCCCCCACCTATCTTCTCTCTACCTTGTATGGTCTCCCCACAGCCCTCCAGTACCAGGGAATAAGAACCACCTACAGATGGACTCTGAAACACTTGACTGGATGCCCAGACACTTGACCAGAACCCACTAGAGGAACCCTGTTCTTCTGACACATGCCAGGGCCCACCTGTCCAACCAGCACTCAAACCCCCAAGCACCCCGGCTCCTCAGGGTCCCAAGCCCACAGACACTTCCTTCACTCACCAAAGCCTCCAGGGTTGGAACGCGGAGTGTAGAAGCTCTGGACACCACATCTCTTACAGAAGGTGTGCTGGGCTTTGTGCGTGTTGAACGTGTATGTGGTTATGCTCTCAGCGCCCTGGAGAACAGACACAAATGGACAAGGAGATCATTTAATGTTACTAAAAGTAAATCTTTTGAAAGGATTAGTGGCGATGCCCTTTTGTAGAGTTCTCTGGGTTATGGAGATGGCTCCCATTTCCTAGAAAAGCTTTAAAGCTTCTTGACAACAGGGACCCGTCTGGACTCCCCAGACACAATTCACTCTGGAGCCCGACCGTCTACAGATCCTCCTATGCCAACTGTACATGAACAACCCAACCTCGAGTTGATGTACACCAAAACAGAATACCCTCTAAGAGTCTGAGGGAACAGCTGCCTGCTTCCCAGTGCCGCTCACCTGAGGGACTGGCTCTCCATGTCTCCAAAAAGCATTGCTCAAGATCTTAAGGACACTACTGACTATACTTCAATTATTTATATAGGAAAAACTAGGAAAAAACTCTTTGCCACACGTCATAAACAAAGGGTTAGTTTTCTTTTTTCTTTTCTTTTTTGTTTTGTTTTGTTTTGGTTTTGGTTTTTTTGTTTTTCAGACAGGTTTCACTGTGTTATAGCTCTGGCTGTCCTGGAACTCACTCTGTAGACCAGGCTAGTCTCGAACTCATAGAGCGCTACCTGCCTCTGTTTCCCAAGAGCTGGGATTAAAAGCATGTGCCACCACCAACACCTGGCTAAAGGTTAGTTTTCTTAATGGATGATATGAATGAAAAATGGGCTAAGAATTTGAATAGGCAGTTGAGAGAAAAAAAGAACATATGAAATGATGCTTACATTGATGACCTACAACAAGATACTTCCCAGTACCTGGTGAGAAAGATTAAAAAATCACAAATGTGAGGCCGGAGAGATGGCTCAGCAGTTAGAGCATATAGTGCTTTTGCAGAGGACCTGAGAATTCTGTTGCCAGTGCCAATATCAGGTGGCTCAAAACTGCCTATAACTCCTGCTCCATAGAGAGCCAGTGCTTTTACCCTCCACAGGCACCTGCATTCATGTGCACATGCACACATACACAGATATATGCACATATACATAACTAAAACTCACTGACCTAACAACCTCTTCCGGCCTCCATGGGCACTGGCATGTACATGTGCCTACTAACAATGCAGACATACACAAACACATGAAAATATAAATAAATCTTTGTTTTTAAAATCACAATGGTAGAGGCTAGAGGGATGGCTCAGCATTTGGGAGTACTGGCTGCTCTTCCAGAGGACCCAGCACCCATATGGCAGCTCATGGCTGTCTGTGGCTCCAGTTCCAGGGGATCTGACACCCTCACAGATATATATGCAGGCAAAACACCAATGCAATGAAATGAAAATAAATAAAGCATTTTAAAAAAAAATCACAATGGGCCAGGTGGTAGTGGCACACGCCTTTAATCCCATCAGGCAGATCTCTGTGAGTTCGAGTTCCAGGACAGGCTACAAAGCTACAGAGAAACCCTGTCTCGAAAAAAAAAAAAAAAAGCTGGGGGGGGGGGGGGCGCGTGGCAGCAGTTAAGAGCACTGTCAGCTCTTCCAGAGATCTGAGTTCAATTCCCAGCAACCACATGGTGGCTCACAACCATCTATAATGGGATCTGATGCCCTTTTCTGGCATGCAGGTGCACATGCAGAGAGAGCACCATAAACATAAAACTAACTAAATTAATTAATTAATTAAATTAAAACAAATCCCAATGGTGGTTAACATGGCGTTGAAAAGGAGACACAGAAATAGATATTCTGCCAGTGATGGTGACACGTGCCTGTAATCCTAGCACTTGGGAGGTGGAATCCTGGCATCTAGACAGAAGGATCAGAGATTCAACATCACCCCAAACTAGCTCAAGGCCAGCTGGGGCTGCATGAGATCATGTCTCAAAAAAAAAAAATCATAACCATGAGGGGCTAGCTGGAGAAATGGGTTGACAGTTAAGAGCACTTCTTGCTCTTTCAGAGGACTGAAGTTTGGGTTTCAGCACCCATGGGCAGCTCATAACCACCTGAAAGTCCGGCTCCAGGGCATCTGAGAAATTCTTCTAGCCTCCACAGGCACTGGCATGCCCATGTGCCTACTAATAATGGAGACACACATACATACACATAAAGAAACATAAAATAAAGAGTGCTTGCAAATACTAAGCAGCACTAACCATCTCCAAGTTTCCAAAGTGAAAAACACAAGATGTAAAACATGGGTTGTAGGTATGGCACATGGTGGAGCCCATGTGGGCATGTTAGTACACACTAGGCCCTGGATTCAACCAGCATGACAAAGATGGGGGGTTAACTGTTTACTAGAAATTTTTGAAAATATATATCCTTGTATGTTTTCCATGCATATTAATTGTTCAAGAGGGTCTAAAAACAGTTGTCCTCAAAGAGCAGGAACTTGGTGGCTGAAGAGTAGGGGGTTATTGAGCTGAAGAGACGGCTCAGGGGCTGAGAGAGCTTGAGCTTGCTGCCCAATCATGAGGGCAGAATTCATATCCTAGCACACACACTGGACACCTTACAGTGTCCTATAACTCCCACTCTAAGGGATCCAATGTTTCTCTCTGTGGGCTTCTGCATATGTGCACAGTCATGTAGACACATAAATGCAGATACACACAAACTCACACATACATTAAAAAATAAATTTTACATTTTTTTTTTGAGCTGGGTAGTGTTGGTACACACCTTTGATCCCAGCACTTGAGAGGCAGAGGCAGGTGGATCCCTGAGAGTTTGAGATCAGCCTGGTCTACAGAGGGAGTTCCAGGACAGCCAAGACTACACAGAGAAACCCTGTCTTGAAAAACAAAACAAAACAAAGTTTTAAACATTTATTTATTTCTATCTTATGTGCATTGGTGTTTTGCCTGCGTGTATGTCTGTGTGAGGATGTCAGATCCTGAGGGTGTCAGACTTACAGACATTTGTGAGTTGCCACGTGGGTGCTGGGAATAAATTGAACCTTGGTCCTCTGGAAAGCAGTCAGTGCTCTTAACTGCTGAGCCATCTCTCCAGTCCCATACATTTTTTTTTAAAAAAATGTAAAGATTTATCTATTGTATTTCACATATATGAGTGTTTCGACTGCATATATATATATACACACCTAGTGTGTGCCTGGTTCCATGAAGGTAAGAAGAGGGCATCAGACCCTGGGGACTGGAGTTATAGATGGCTGTGAATCAGTATGTGGGTGCCAGGAATTGAATCCAGCTTCTCTGAAAGAGTAACAAGTGCTCTTAACCTCTGAGCTCTCTCCAAGCCCCTGAAAATGTTTTATTGTTTTATTTTAATTATGTGTATGTGTTTGTTGGTACTCATGGGACTCAAACTCAGGTCCTCTGCAAAAGCAGTACAGGCTCTTAACCACTGAGTTAATTCCAGCCTCGATCTAAAAATGTTTTAAACAGTGGTGGCTGCGACTTCTTATTAGTATACATTTCACATTTCTCCCATACTTCCTCACGGGCCACTGATTGCCATCTACCACGAGCTTCCTAAGGTTTTTGTTTGTTTGTTTTAATTGGAGCTACATGTGCACATAGAGGACTTCCTGGAAAATAGCTCCAAGCTTCTTACCCACAGCCTGGCACATCAGAACCACCAGGCTCAGCAAGACCCTCGACACCTTACCTGACCTCATCTATCACCACAAGTCACCCAGTGATACCCAGATCCTTCTCATCTATGCACCCACCCACTGGATCCCATGTGCCCTGCCTGTCATCATTGAAATCTGCCACATGGAACCCGGTATAGTCGTGCATGCCGTTAGTCCCAGCACTTGGGAGGCAGAGGCAGGCATGAGGCCAGCCTGGTTTACAGGGAGTTCCAGGACAGCCATAGCTACATTGTGAGGCTCTTGTTTTTTGTTTTGTTTTATTATTTTTTTAAATTTATTTATTTATCTTTATTTCACATACATTGGTGTTTTAGCCATGGGTGATAGGTCCCAGGAATTGGAGTTACAGACAGTTGTGAGCTGCCATGTGGGTGCTGGGAATTGAACCAGGGTCCTCTGGAAGAGAAGTCCGTGCTCTTAACCACTGAGCCATCTCTCCAGCCTCCGAGACTCTTGTTTAGGAAAAAAAAATTCCATATGGATCATTCCTTGACTCCTTAACACCAATGACAAATCCAATGACTGTGTCACTTTCTTTCTTTCCTTTTTAAAGCAGGTCTAGAATTGAACCTTGAGCATCATGCACGTGAGGCAAGCACTCACTGGTGAGCTACAGCCCCAAATGGCCACCTTTTCGATAAATTTTATTTACCATCACTTTGTGAGTATGTACGATTGTGGTAGTGGGGGAACATGCATGCCATGGCCCATGTGTAGTCCAAAGACAACTTCAGTGGTCCTTTATCTCCTTTCATTTTCAGATGGGCTTCTGGAATCAGACTCAGGTCACCAAGCCTGGACCACTGAATCCTTCTGAACATGGCTCTCTACAGCATTCCATTGTAAAGCATTTGCCACTGAACACACCGCATTCTGTGTTTATTTCCTCTACGACCTACTTCCTCTTCTGTTCATGTACTGAAAATATTCACAGGCCTGAACTGTCCTCAGCCTTCTCTTTGCCCTGGATACCTTTACACAGCTGACCTCCGATGCTGCAGAGGCCTAAAGACAAATGTGCCAGAACTCCCAGGTCCCTGGCCCCATCTCTGCCGTATCCAGACTTGTAGATCCAGCTCCCAACTAGCCAACAGGAAGACTGAGCAAATCGAGGGAGGATGTGTGCCCTAGAGCACCAGGAAGGACATGTAGAAGCCTTGTAAAGAAGTGTGCCACAGAGCACCAGGAAGTGTGTGGAGAGGCCCAGGGAAGAAGTGTGCCACAGAGCACCAGGAAAGATGTGGACGAGACTATGGAGGAAGAAAACAGAGGACCAATTCCCCACCCAGGCTGCATCTACTGGCATCTTCAAGAGCTGCCTGTTGCAGGGTCTTAGGAACAAGGTTGAGGACAGACTGCATGTTAGTGCACTTCTGCCCTACAGGTCAGATGAAGGGTCCCTGTGTTCTTTACCCACAGACACCCATACCACACCTTCTGTGATGAGGACAGAGGTACAGACAAAGGTATAGGGACAAAGACAGAGACAAAGAAAAGGACACAAAGTAGATGTCTATCTGTTCTCTCACTGCCTTATTTATGGTTCTACTGCTGTGAGGAGACATCATGACCAAGGCAGCTTATTAAAGGAAGCATTGAATGGAGGGCTTTCAGGAGCTTCAGTGGGTGAGTCCTCGCTCTTCATGGTGAGGAGCTTGTGGGCAGGCAGGCATGGTGCTGGGACAATAACTGAGAGCTTACATCTGACCCACAATCAGCTAACAGAGAGCGAGAGACTGGACCTGGTGTGGGCTTTGAAACCTCAAAGTTCACCCCCAGTGACATACCTCTTCCAACAAGGCCTGTGTTGGAAATGTTTATACCAACTTGACACAAGCTAGGGTCATCGGAGAGGAGGGAACCTCAATTGAGAAAAAGCCTCCATAAGATCACTGTAGACAAGCCAGGAGGGCATTTTCTTAATTAGTGATTGATAGGTGAGGGCCAAGCCCATTGTGGGTGGGGCCACTCCTGGGCTGTTTTATAAGAAAGCAGGCTGAGCACGCCATGGGGAGCAAGCCAGTAAGCAGCACCCTTCATGGCCTCTGCATCAGCTCCTGTCTCCAGGTTCCTGCCCTGTTTAAGTTCCTGTTCCTGTTCAATGATGAGCAGTGATGTGGAAATGTAAGCCAAATAAACCCTTTCCTCCCCAAGGTGCTTTGGTCATGGTGTTTCACCACAGCAATAGCAACCCTGAAACAAGGCCATACCTTCTAATCTTTCTTAGACAGTCTACCAATTAGGAACTATGCATTCAAATACATGAGCTGATGAAGGCCATTCTCATTCAAACCCTGCTCCAGATAATCAAGAATCTGAGGAGGGACTACTTACCACCATAGATAGACCCCCCCAAGGAAGAGGGAAGGAGGAAAGATGGGAAGAAAGGAACCCTGGCCTCCCACATTGGAGATTAAATCGCACAGACTTGGTAGGCTGGAGAGACTGCTTAGCAATTAAGAGCACTTAATGCTCCTGCAGAGGACCTGAGTTCAATTCCCAGCACCCATAAGGTGGCTCACAACTATCAACTTCAGCTCCAGGGGATTCAATAGGCACACATGTGGTGCATATACATGCTGGCAGACAAAACATCCAGACACATAAAAATAATTTTTTTGAGACAAGGTCTCTCTCTACAAGCTTGGCTGTCCTGGAGCTTCCTATGTAGACCAAGGCAGCCTCAAACTCACAGAGATCCTCCTGTCTCTGCCTCCTGAATGCTGAGTTTAAAGATGTGCACCATCACACCTGGCCATAAATCTTAAGAAAAAACCCATTGACTTGAAAAGACTAAGACCACAAAGCTACACAGAGAAACCCTGTCTCAAAAAACAAAAACAAAAAAGAAAAGAAAAGACTAAGACGTACATGGCCACCTACTCAGTCTTTCCTCCTAGAAGCCTACTGAGAGCCCACTTGCACTAAACCCTACCAAGCCAGGAACTGGCTCAGCATGGCAACAGGTAGGACCGGCCTTGGGCACAACCTGCAGTCTCATAGTAAAGGAGAGGAATGTCTACCAAATTTTTGCACAGGCTCACAGTCTGTGGGACTGCAAGGAGAAGGGGAGGAAAGGAAGACAGAATCAAAGCCCAGCCCACCCCACACTATCTAGAATCTGCTAAAAAGACATCTTGAGAATCTCTGCTCCAGCCTCACCCTCCCATTCCAGACCCCACCCCTCAGAAAGCCCAAGGGTCGGCTCCTCCCCCAGAGATGCTCAGAACCACACCTACAGGGTATTTTTTTTTTTTTTTTTTTTTTTTTTTTTTTTTTTTTTTTTGGTTTTTCAAGACAGGGTTTCTCTGTGTAGCTTTGCGCCTTTCCTGGAACTCGCTTTGGAGACCAGGCTGGCCTCGAACTCACAGAGATCCGCCTGGCTCTGCCTCCCGAGTGCTGGGATTAAAGGTGTGCGCCACCACCGCCGCCCGGCCCTACAGGGTATTTAAGACACGTCTCCAACCTGCCATGGGATTTCTCTCCTGCTTTCTTCCCCCCCAAGAAACACCCAGTCGTGCATTGCTCAGATTTAAACCTGGACTTTTAATTTGGCCTGATCTGATCTATTGCATTGGTGGAGAAACACAATATCAGGGTACAGAAACCTTTCAATCTTACAAAATTTGTATTCTCCTTCCCAGAGATTTTGTTTCTTTTTTTTTTTTTAAAGATTTATTCATTTATTACGTATACAGTGCTCTATCTGCATGTATACCTGCAGACCAGAAAAGGGTGCCAGATCTCATTACAGGTGGTTGTGAGCCACCATGTGGTTGCTGGGAATTGAACTCAGGACCTCTGGAAGAACAAGTAGTGCTCTTAACCGCTGAGCCATCCCTCCAGCCCGAGATTTTGTTTCTAAGAGAACTAATTCTAAAGAAAAATTGCCAAAGATTTATACACAGGGAAATTTATCACAATGTTGTTTATAATTCAAGGAGTGAAATGGTGGTTGGAGAGATGACTTAAAAGTTAAGAGAATGTTGGGAGACGGTGGCACATGCCTTTAATCCCAGCACTGTGGAGGCAGAGGCAGGTGGATCTCTGTGAGTTCCAGGCTAGCCTAGTCTACAGAGAGAGTTCTAGGACAGGCTCCACAGCTACACAGAGAAACCCTGTCTTGAAAAACCAAACAAACAAAACAGTTAAAAGCACTGGCTGCTCTTGCAGAGGACCCAGGTTTGATTTCCAGCACTCACATAGTGGCTCACAACCCTCTGTAACTCCAGTTCTGAGGATCTGCCACCCTCGTCTGGTCTCCGAGGACACTGCATTCATGCGGTGCACAGATGTACATGCAGGCGAAACCCACACACATAAAATAATACAGTTTTTAAATAGACTCAAGCCAGGAATGCACCACTGCAAATTCAAGAGTGATGGGATAAGTCAGCCAAGAAACTGGCTGGGGAGGGAGGGAGATGGTCTGTACAAGTCCACAGTGACAAAATGAAACTTAAAAATAGCTGGGGATGTAGCTCAGTGGTACGGGACTGGCCTTGGCTCAACTCTCACACTGAATAAAAAGGAAAGAAAAATCTGTGGGTTTTTTTTCCACTAGGAAATGATAAAGTAGTTTATAGACAGAACAGGGTTTGTTTGTTTGTTTGTTTGTTTGTTTTTGTCTTTTGAGACAGGGTTTCTCTGTGTAGCCCAAGCTGTCCTAGAACTCACTCTGGAGACCAGGCTAGCCACAAACTCACAGAGATCTGCCTACCTCTGCCTCCCAAGAGCTAGGATTAAAGGTGTGAGCCACCACACCTGGACAGAACAGTTATACACTCCCCCACAACACCTTTTATTTACTTATTTTTTTTGAGACAGGATATAGCTAACGTTGCTCAAGTTGGCCCCACCCACAAAGGACTGGGTCCTCTAGATCAATCACTAATTAAGAAAATGCCCTACAGGTCTGCCTACAGCCCAGTCTTACTGAGACATTTTCTCAATTGAGGGTCCCTTCTCTCCAGTAACTCTAGCTTGTATGCAGCTAACATAAGCCTAGCCAGCACATTGGCTTATATAATATTTTGATAAAAACTATGACAATCCTGGTAGTATGCACTTGTAGTTGTAGGTACTTAGGAGACTGAAGCAGGAGGGTCTCTTAAGGCTAGAAGCCCAGGAGGCAGTCTGGGCCACAGAGCAGGATCCCATACTTAAAATAAATAAATAATAAAGGTGAGATGACCCCGTGGGTAAGGGTTTCCATGCAAACCTGGTGACCTGAGGACTTACATGGTAGGAGGAGAAAACTTAGTCTTGTATGTTGTCCTCTGACCTCCACGGGGACACTATGGCATGTGTGCCTACAGACATACATATAGCATTAAATAAAATAAAACTCAGAGCCAGAGAGCGAACGAGCTCAGCTGCTGTCTTCACAGAGGACCTGAGTTCAGTTCCCTGCACCACAAGGAGGCTTACCGCCATCCTTAACTCCAATTTCAGGGCATCTTATGCCCTCTTCTGGCCTCCACAGGCACCAGACACTTATAAGGTATACATATATACATGCAGGCAAAATATTCATACATATAAAATAATAAAAATTTTAAAACTGGACTCAAGTCAGGAATTCACTACTAAAATATAATTTAAAAGCAACTATATACATATATTTTGTTTGTTGAGACTCACTATGTAGCTCTGGCTGTCCTGGAACTCACTTTGTAGACCAGCCTGGCTTCAAACTCACAGAGATCCATCTGTCTCTGCCTCCTGAGTGCTGGGATTAAAAGTGTGCACCACCCGCTGTAACAACCTATTTAGATGTATTTATCTCTATAATATCATCAAGTACAAATGGCCAGGAATACAGATCAGTCAGGAGAGTGTTTGCCTAGGATGCACAAAGCCAGGTTCAAACCCTAGCAGTGTATAAGCTGGGCAAGATGGCTGGGCATGGTGGCTGGGCATGGTGGCACACACCTGTAATTCCAGTGCTCAGATAAGAACAAGAGGATCAGGAGTTCAAGGGCAGCCTAGGATACATGAGACCCAATCACAGAGAGCGATCGAGAGAGAGAGAGAGAGAGAGAGAGAGAGAGAGAGAGAGAGAGAGAGAGAGAGAATAATGTATAAAGATGTGTGTCAAAAAATAGTAGTGATTACTTTTGAATGATTTTATTTTTCTTATAATTTTTCAAAAGCAATACAGGTTATTCAGATAATTTTTCAGTTTTCAAAATGATTTTTTTTTTCCTGGAGCTGAGGACCGAACTCAGGGCCTTGCACTTGCTAGGCAAGCGCTCTACCATTGAGCTAAATCCCCAGCCCTCAAAAATGATTTTAATTGATTTTCTGAATTTGAAAATATTTCTACAATAATATCAAATCTGCTTTCCAAAACAAAGGGAAGACAGGCATAGTGGTACATGCCCAGGACCCCAGCCCTCAGGAGGCAGAAACACGAGGATCAGGAGTTCAAGGCCAGCCTGGCTGTCTCAAAACAAACAATTTATCAACTCAAAAAGTAAATAACTGGGGACTAGTGAGAAGGCTCAACAGGTAAAAGGTCTTACCACAGAAGCCTGGCGACTTGAGTGTGACCCTAGAAACCCTGTAAAGCTGGAAGGAGAAAGCCAGTTCCACAGAGCTCTCTTTTGGCCTCCGCATGTGTGCTGTGCCATGTGCCTACCCCACGAACAAATAAAAGATTTAAAGGAAAAATAACTAAGCCAGTTAAAGTACACCTGGGGGCTAGGGACAGAGCTCAGTGGCAAAGCATTTGCCTACCATAATCGAGGCCCTGAGTTCAATCCCCAGTACCTACCAAAAAAAAAAAAAAGAAAGAAAGAAAGAAAGACAGACATGAACCTGAATGGAAAGTAATCAGAAACTAGGAATAATGGTACACCTCTGTGATCCCAGGACTCAGGAGGCTTAGGTAAGAGGATCTTTAAGTTTGAAGCTGGCCTAGGCTACACAGTGAGACTCCACCTAAGGAAAAAAAGGATCTCAAAGCCCTTAAAAGGTCCTACTAAGTTCTCTGCCCCTCACGCTGTACAGCAAGCCAGCTAAAAAGATGGGGTAGGGGATCCTGGGTCCTTACACATGGGCTCTACCCGCTCTGACCCTGCTTGCAAGTACTAACCTTCAGGAGTTTGAAGCGAGAAGCTGGAACAATGAAGTGTCTATTCTGCTTCTTCTTGCAAATGCTACAGCTACAGAAAGAGCAAAGGCCAGATTATGAGTTACCATCTGCATTGTCCATATGCCCAAGCAGCCCAGCCCAATGCCTGCAGAACCAGCTGACCTCAAACGGGACACCCTTCTCAGCACCATCCAGGGAAGGGAAACTTAGGCAGCTGGACAGGCCACCTGGAGCCTCTGCTCTTCGTGGCCGTGAAGCCTGCTGGTGACAGAGCCAGCAGGGGAGACCACACGGCATTCAGCAATCCTGGACCTCATTTTCAGCTGCCCCCCCTCCCGGCCCTGAAGAGAAACAGTGGACTTAAAAGACACTCAGAAAATGAATTCAGACATTTCTATACGTTCATGCCTCTTTAGGTGGGCACACCAGAGCCAGGGAAAGAACCATAGGCTTCCCCGTCTCCACATAAGAAAACCAAGCTCTAATCGTTTTACCCAGAAATACCAAACTGGAAACTGACTCAAAAGCTGCTCTTTTCAACTCCCCATTTTTGTCTGTTTTTATTTCTCTACCCTAGGGATAGTGAACTCAGGTATCACACATACTAAGCAGGCATTCTACTACTAAAGCACACCTCAAGCCCTTCAATTCACGTTTTGTTTTGTTTTGTTTCTTTTTAAATTTAACTTTGGGGCTAGAGATGGCTCAGTGGTTAAGAGCACTGACTGTTCTTTCAGAGAACCCTGGTTCGATTCCCAGTATCCACCTGGTGGCTCACAGTTCTAGGGTATCAAACACTTCTTCTGACCCCTGGGGCATGTGGTGAACAGACATCCATGCAGATAAAACACCCACAAGCATAAAATAAGTATTTTTTTTTTTTTAGTTTTAACTTTATTTTATTCTATGAGACAGAGGGGTCATGTTAAAAATTTGTCTTTATTTTATTTTTTGAGACAGGGCCTCATGTATCCCCAGGCTGGCTTCAAACTTGCTAAAGAGTTGAAGATAGCTTACAGCTTCTTCGTTTGCTTGCTTACTTTTTATTCTGAGAGCAGAGTCTCATGGACACTAACACCAAGCAGCTGGGGACAATCTTTAACCTCTGATCCTCCTGTCTCTACCTCCCCCCAGGACAACAGACATGTGACATCATGCCTAGTTTATGCAGAAGTAGGGGTCAAATCCAGAGCTTTGCACATGCTGGACAAACACCCTACTAAATGGGCCGCATCCCCAGCCCTAGTTCACCTTTTAAAACACTCTGTCTTAGTATAGGATTCTCCAAGAAACTATGCCATAATGTTTCTTTCCAAATCTGGATTCTATTAGTGGCCTAGCCAGTTCTCCACTTTAGGAATTCCATAGTATTTATTATTCACATGAAATTCAGGTACCATTAGAGGTAAAGGACTGGACCCTCTTGAGTAATTAGGTACATGCCAACAGCTGGTCCAGAAGGCAGAACCTGTTGTTCTCACTCTATTATTATGCCAGGGAAGATGCTTAAGAAGCAGGCCTGCCACTGATCCTGATCCGGGTGGTATCATGGGCCTCATGCCAAGAACAGAGAGAGAGCCAGTTCATGAAAAGCTTCTGGCCGGGCGTTGGTGGCGCACGCCTTTAGTCCCAGCACTCACGAGGCAGAGCCAGGCGGATCTTTGTGAGTTCGAAGCCAGCCTGGTCTACAGAGCGAGATCCAGGACAGGAACCAAAACTACACAGAGAAACCCTGTCTCAAAAAACCAAAAAAAAAAAAAAAAAAAAGAAAGAAAGAAAAAAGAAAAGCTTCTAGGTGTACATATATACTCTCCACCCAATTACTTTCATCTAGCTTCACAGATAGACTCCTAAGAAGATTCTGCTCAAGATAGGATTCCCAGCATCCCAGCAAAGAATTAGGGCCAGCCTGATCCACTTCCTGCTAATCACCCCTAAATCAGTGGTATCAGCCCTGCTTTGTCACCTGAACTGTACTGTGGGGCTCTGTGGTACATATACACATAGGCACAGTCTCCCACACGTACAAACTATAGGTGTTACTCTGACTAACTCAGAATGTTTAGCCTTCCCCTACCTTAAAAAAAAAATCACACCAGGTGGTAGTGGCCTACACCTTTAATCCCAGCACTCAGGAGGCAGAGGCCGGTGGATCTCTGAGTTTGAGGCTAGCCTGGTCTACACAGTGAGTTCCAGGACAGCCAGGGCTACACATAGAAACCCTGTCTCCAAAAAAACAAAAAACTAACTAACTAACCAGACTAGTGAGCTGGGTTGGCAAATAAAGGTACCTACCACCAGCCTGATGGCTGGATGATCCCATGACCAAGGAGAGAACTGACACCCACAAGCTGTCCTCTGACCTCCACACATGCTAAAGGTATAACTTTTAACAACTTTTAAAACTGTCACTGAAAATTCCCAGTCAGACACACAAGCGGGAAAAGGAGAACAATGAACCTTTATGTGCCCAGTACCTGATATAACAGTTATCAGCTCGTGGCCAACACTGTTTCATCTATACCCGACTCCCCAGATGGGTCTGAAACACAGCCTTTTTGCTCCTCAAGTCTTCTAAGCCAATGTGGAAAGATAAAAATACTCACTTGCAGTCGAAGATGTGTAAGTCTGCTGAAGCCCAAACTTCAAAACGGACCGCTCCACAGTGGCAGCCTCCCGTGTGCTTCACCAGGCCCTGGTACTCACTAAACGGAATAAAAACTAGAGCATAAGAACTTCTAACAGGCAGGCAGGGGCCTTGTGGCATGGCTCCTGTCTTTTTGTGCTTGAAAGAAAGCCAGGCTGGGACAACCACCAGGTACATTTCATAAAAGAGGTTCAGTTATTTTCGCTGTGAACGGTCTTGAATTTTATAAGACTGCAAAATAAAACATTCCCAGAATTCAGTAAATATGAAGATAGAGGAGAAGCCTAGCTCTCCCCCACCCAAACATTTCTATTTACATGTCAACTGTTTAGTGAAAAAAAATATTTATAAGCTAAGTACCAAGAAGAGTCCTTACCAACCTTAAGCAGCCACCAAGCAAAGTGGCCAAATATTTCATTTTGGTTGTAATAAAGTCAGTAGAAGTGGCTATGAAAAAGCAAGACAGATTGCCCAGTTGGGTCTACTGACTCAGAAATGCTTTCTGGGGGGATAACAAAGGCTTTCATAACTCTGGGATAACAAAGGCTTTCATAACTCCGTTCACTCGCCTCTTGTACTTCTCAAGTACATGACTTTTTACACAACTCTATACAGTTGGAGCCAGCCCCTAACTCAATATTAAGACTCAATGAACATTATGAAGCTCCTTCCCCAAAAGACTAGACATTCTTGCCACTAATAAATGAGAGAACATTTCACATGAACAATGAAGGAAAAACCGCTCACAGCAGCCTTACTTTGCCATCTGATTAATGGCAAGACTAAATACTCTCCCAGGTCCCTCTAACAAGTTAACATCTCAATTTTTTCTTCCATAGACAATGTTTAGCGTAAACAAACAAACAAAAACCGCAAATGTTATTATATTTAGTAACAGAACGAGAAGCTCCTGTGATCATCCCACCAAGAGAGATTTCATATTTGCTATGCATTCCTCCAAACCTTTTTCTATGCAATATTTGAACAAAATCGTTAGTGTATATAACATATACTTTCTTGGCACAAAAAAGTTAGCTTAGAGGACATAAAAGTAACTGTAAGCAAGCTTAGCATGCTAATCTGCTGAGCAAAACATCTTTTCATGCCAATATTTTTACTATCTTTTCCTAGATCATTATCAGCTTGTTTTCGGGGGGGGGAAATATTAACTCAAATTTTTGCTTTGTGAGTCTAAGGATTGGGGCTTTTTTGTTCGTTTCGTTTTGAGACAGGGTGTCATGCAGCTTAGGCTGGCCTCAAATTAACTATGTAGACAAGGATGACCTTGAACTTCCAGATCTTCCTGCCTCCAGCTTCCAAGAACAGGGTTTACAGAAACGGACCACATTAACCCTAGCTTGTTTCTGTTTTCCTTTCTTTCTTTCTCTCTTTCTTCTGAGAAAGGGTGTTTCTGTAGCCCAGATTGGCCCTTAAGTCGTTGTACCCCTCCACCTCTGCCTCCTAAAAACTAGAATTATAGGCATATGCTACTGTGCCCAGCCCCATGGATCTTTTTAGAGTATCTCTTAGACCTCCCAGTAGCTAGTACACAACAGGTACTCAACAAATGTTATTTTTAATTTTTTAAGTTTTAATTGGTTTTTGTTTTAAGTTAATATTTTATAGTATTCAATTTATAGCCAAGGGGGATTAAAACTAAAAAGCAAAACACAGAGAAAACTAAATAAACAGTCCGTTTCTGAGAGGATGCACCAACACCAAGAGAACTTTTTCTGGAACAAAGACAAAAGAACATCTTGATGTTTATAAAAAAAAAAAAAGTAGCTCTGATTTTTAAGTAATTGTTCAGTTAATATCAGTTTTCTCTTTTATTGTTCTTTTTCAGTTCGTCTGGGAGTGAGAACCTGTATGACTAGGGCATTCGGTATTTCTCTGTAGCACAATGGTTAAATGAGGAGGGGGTTCACATCCCATTTGGTAAAGAGGAGACCGTTCTGGCCGGCGTAGTTACCAGCTTTTTTCCCAGTAAAGGACCCCTGAGATGCTCCCTGGGCCATCTAAGAAGCTGGAAGCACTTCAGGAGCACAGGATGGAGGAGAAGAAAGTAAAACCTGCCACCCGGGACCCCAGGTGAGAGCACAAAGCCTGGGCTTCCCATTCCCTCCCGCACGCGTCGGTCCAGGACAGCGCTTTGCGCGCGCTTCCCTCCGGGATCAATAACCCGCACCCTCCCTCCCGGGAACTGCCCGGAACAATTGGCCTTCGCTCCCTAAGGCCCCTAAATTCTCCACTTGGACTTTTCCTCCCGCCCACCCTCCGAAAGCACGTGCAAATACGGATAAAATGGTCTTGGTGGCAGGGAAACCGTGGGATGCTTGTCCTTTGCACCCGGAGAGGCCCTCCCGCGCATGCAGCCGGACACAGTCCTGAGCGGCCAGCCGGAGCAGCGGGCGCCTGGCCCCGGCTCCGCACTCAGCCTCGGGTCCCGCCGCCGGTGCGCACTTGGCAGGTGCTGGCCCGCCGCCCCCGCCACACTCACAAGGTGTCCAGCAGCAGCTTGGCGGCGCCCTCGAAGCTGAGCCGTTGCCGCTTCTGGAACGTCTCCCAGCGCTCCCGCTGCTCCCCCAGGTCGAGCGCAGACACCGAGGCGGCGGGGGTGTCCGCCGGCGGCGGCGGCTCCTCGGCGGCCGCCTCCTGGGCCCGCGGCGGCGGCTTGGGCCGCGGCTTTGCCGACGGCTGCGAACCGGCCGCCCCGCCCCCGCCCCCGGCCTTCGCCTTGCCCGCCGCGCGCCGCGCGCGGCTTTCGCCGCCGGCCAGGCCCCCGGAGGCACCGGAGCGCCGCTGCTCCCGCGGCTCGGTCGCCACCGCGCTCCGCGTCCGCCGCATGTCTCCCTCAGCCCGGCGCACAGGCCTCTCCGCTCTGCGCGTCCCCGCCGGCTGATGCGCGTCCCCGCCTGTGACAACCTGAAGGCCCCGGGGGTGGTGCGCAGCGCTCCGGGACACGCGAGCTCGGGACCCGGCTTCTGCGGCCTGCCGGCCACGGGAGACCCCGGGCCGTGTGGTCTAGTGCCGAGGAGGATCTAAGAGGACCGCGCCTCCACCTGCGTTTGCAGGTAATCGCGCCCGTTTGATCTGCGAAGGCGCTTTGCTCTCCACTGTCGCCAGGACCTTCAACCCTACATTCGGGACCTGGGGAAGGCCTAAGGTCAGGTCTCGATGCATGGCCACATCAGAGCTGACAAGCTTGGGCGACTTGGTCTCCAAGGTGGTGGTGACACTACCAACGTTGGAGAAGCCATGTGCCTAATATGAGCTAACGTATGTAAATGGTCTGGCACTTGCTAGTTGAAGCATAAATGACAGCTGGAATCGTTTGATTAATGGTCAACAGACATTTTGAGTTTTATTTTTTTATTTATTTATTTATTTTTTTTTTTTTTGCAGAACTGGGAATAGGTCCTATTGTGCAAACACTTTACACTGTGCCACATTCCCAGGCCCGGATTTTGTTTTCAATTTTAAGTAAATGAATAGATCCCAGGATTATATTGTGTTTGTATGCTTTTGCAGAATACGATACTGAAGTTTAAAGAAAAAAAATATCACAAGAACACCCCCGACCCCCGGCATCCCAGATAGTCTCCAAACCCTCTTAGTTGCTCTCACACTTTCAAACATTTACTTACTCATTTTCTTGCATTTTTCCTTTTCAACTTTGTTTTTGTTAATTCATACGTTTATTATAATGTATAATCCATTTATTTTCAGTCTTTGTGAGCCTGAAAATATTGATTATAGATTTTTCCCAAGTATAGCTTTATCTATTTATAAATCTTCATGAAGTTTTAACACAAAGTCCTCACTCCTTAAAACTTCCTAGATACACAATATGTTTTGCTGTTTCCTTTGCGTTATAATTAGCATAAAGTGCTCATATCTTAAATGTACAGATTTGCACCCACCGAATCAGATGCGACACATCCTAGCACACTAGAATATCTCAAAAGAGAAAACAGAAGTAGGGTTGAAGAGATGGCTCAGAGGTTAAGCGCGCTGGTGGCTCTTCCAGATTTCCAGTAACCACATGGTGGCTCACAACCATCTGTAATAAAATCTGGTGCCCTCTTCTGGTGTATAGGTATATGTGCAGGCAGAACAATGTATACATAATAAATAAATAAACCAATCTTTAAAAAAAAAAAAAAAAAAAACCAGAAAACAGAAATGACCCCTATTTTGACTTTTTTTTTTTTTTTTTTTTTTTTTTTGGTTTTTTCGAGACAGGGTTTCCCTGTGTAGCTTTGCGCCTTTCCTGGAACTCACTTGGTAGCCCAGGCTGGCCTCGAACTCACAGAGATCCACCTGGCTCTGCCTCCCGAGTGCTGGGATTAAAGGCGTGCGCCACCACCGCCCGACCCTATTTTGACTTTTATCACCATTTCTAACTTGTGCCAATTGGGGGTAGAGCTAGTTGTGGGGGTGGGGTAGGGTGGGGGGTGGAAGGGGAGGCTGCCCCCACATTTTACAAGGTTACCTATGAGAAGGAGAGAGGCATAAGGAATTAGTAGATAGACAGAGGAGATGAGACAGACAGAAACACAGGATAGCTTCGGGAGGACCTGGATCAAAATCCACCGGCCCCTTCTGTCTCTTCAAAAGGGCTTTTTAAAGGAATGCCAAGGGGCGGGGCAAAAGACCTCCCCCTTGCTAGATCAAAGCGTACTGCACACCTGGTAACCATGCACGTGGTCAATCCATCCCCTTATGCAGCCCTGCTGGGTAAAGCAAGTTCAGATCTCACTAGGAAACCTCTGTGGGCTCCCACAGCTAGTATTTACATTAACATTTGTATCCAAATCTTTTTGTAGACTAATTTCTCTTCCAAATATTTGAAGTGGAATTTCTGGTTCATACGTTAAGACTGTGTTGTGATAAGAGTCTTATAGCCGGGCGGTGGTGGCGCACGCCTTTAATCCCAGCACTTGGGAGGCAGAGCCAGGCGGATCTCTGTGAGTTCGAGGCCAGCCTGGGCTACCAAGTGAGTTCCAGGAGAGGCGCAAAGCTACACAGAGAAACCCTGTCTCGAAAAACCAAAAAAAAAAAAAAAAAAAAAAAAAAAAAGAGTCTTATAATGTAGTCAATGCTCCCTTTAACTCACAAGCCTCCTGCCTCCACCTCACAAATTCTAGGATTACAGGCATGTGCCACCATGTCTAGTGAGCACCATCCTTTTTAAAGAATTACTAAGCAATTTTTAGCCTGTCTAGAAAGCATTATATTCTACCAGTACTGTATGAGGACTGTGGTTGTTCCACACCTCACAAAACTTGACACTGTTGATCTGGTGGTGATGTGGTGACATCACTTTCTATTGTTTTGTATTTCTTTGTCCTGTAGTGTTGTGGAATAGAATATTTGTTTAAATATGTAAAGATGTGTTACATTTGTGTTGCAGAATAATTGTTTAACTATGTAAAGATGTGTTGCTTTTGTTTATGCTGCATTTGCTTAACTATGTAAAGAGGTGTGGCTGTTTTACCTTGTCTGCCTAAGGTACCTGATTGGTCTAATAAAAAGCTGAACAGCCAGTAGCTAGGCAGAGGAGGGATAGGCAGGGCTTGTGAGCTGAGAGAAAAGGGGAGCTAGCCAGCTGGGGGCCAGACAGTCAGACATAGAGGAAGCAGGACAGTATGTAGATGAGACAAATGAACCTTGAGGCAGCACATGGATTAATAGAAATGGGTTAATTTTTTTTTTTTTTTTTTTTTGGTTTTTCGAGACAGGGTTTCTCTGTGTAGCTTTGCGCCTGTCCTGGAACTCACTTGGTAGCCCAGGCTGGCCTCGAACTCACAGAGATCCGCCTGGCTCTGCCTCCCGAGTGCTGGGATTAAAGGCGTGCGCCACCACCGCCCGGCAGAAATGGGTTAATTTAAGGTTTTTTGTTTTTGGGGTTTTGTTGTTGTTGTTGTTTTTAAAGCTAGCTAGAGCCAGGCAGTGGTGGCGCACACCTTTAATCCCAGCATTCGGGAGGCAGAGCCAGGTGGATCTTCGTGAGTTCGAGGCCAGCCTGGTCTACAGATCGAGGTTCAGGATAGGCTCCAAAGCTACACAAAGAACCCCTGTCTAGAAAAAAAGCAAAACAAAAGAAGCTAGCTAAGAAACAAGCCTAAGGGCAGGAGAGATGGCTCAGCAGTTAAGAGCACTGACTGCTCTTTCAGAGGACCTGGGTTCAGTTCCCAGCACCCACATGGAAGCTCACAACTGTCTCTAATTCCAGTTCCAGGGGATCTGACACCCATGGCAAAACACCAAAGCACATAAAAATAAATTTAAAAAAAGAGAAAGAAACAAGCCTAAGCTAAGGCTGAGTATTCATAATTAATAATAAGTCTCCATGTCATGATTTGGTGCCGGGTGGTCCAAGAAAGCCTGCTACACTGTAGTAATGCTGCCTTTTCATATGCTGAACATTTGAATGTCTTCTGTTTGCAAATCCTTTTTGGGCTGAAGAAATACTCAGTGGTTAAGAGTTGGTACTGCTCCTGTAAAGGACCCCAGCTGAGTTCCCAGCACCTACTTTGGGCAGCTCACAGCTGACTGTAACTTAAGCTCCAGGGTATCAGATGCATTCTTCTCTTCTTGGGCACCTGCACCATGCATGCACATACCCACACACAATTAAAAACAATAACAACAACAACAACAAAACTTTTTTAGAGAGAGTCGTTTTTAAGCCAGGTGTATGTCCTGATTAACTTTCTGTGGCTGTGATCAACCCCATGTCCAAAAGCAACTCAGGGAGGAGAAAGGTTATTTCATCCTACAGCTTAAAGTCCATCATTGAGGGAGTCAGGGCAGGAATTCAAGGCAAGAACCTGGAATTAGGAACTCAAGCAGACACTATGGATGAATGAGTCTCTTGGGTTGCCATACACACACAATCCAAGACATCTGTCAAGGGCTGCACTGCCCACAATGGGCTGGGCCCTCTCACATGAATCATGAATAAAGAAAATGCCCCATAGACTTACTGTCTTAGCTATTTTTTTATTGCTATGATAAGATACTATGACCAAGGCAATTTATAACAGAGTTTATTGGGGGCTTACTGTTGCAGAGGGTTAGAGTTCATGACCAGCGTGGCCGAGAGTATGGCAGCAGGCAGGCTGGGAGGGGACTGGAGCTGTAGCTGAGAGCTCACGTGATTCAAAAGCAGCAGGCAGAGAGGAAGAGAGACTGGGTTAACCTGAATTTGGAAACTTCAGTGCCCAGTCCTTGTGGCACAAGTCTTCCAACAAGGCCACATTGCCTAATCCTTTCTAAACAGTTTCACCAACTGGGGACCAAGTATTCAAACATATGTGTCGAGGGGGGCCGTTCTCATTCAGACCACCACACTTGACCACCCACCAATCTGACAGAGGCATTTTCTCAACTGAGGTTCCCTCTTTCCAGATGACAAAAAAGCTAAGCAGAACCGTTTGATATACAGCTCTCTGTGTCTTTGCCAGACATGCATGTTAAGGATGCCTTCCCCAATGGCAGCTTGTCTTTCCACTTCCTTAACACCATCTTTTGATGAGCAGAAATTCTTTCATTTGACAAAGTTCAACTTGTGAATTCTTTTGTGGTGTATTTTACTTTACCTAGAACTCTGCCTACCTGGAAGGTCATGAACATTGTCTTGTAAATATTCCACAGTTTAGTTCTCGTACTTAGGTCTATTTTCTATCTCATTTACTTTTATTCTTATTTATGATTTATTTTATTTTTGTTTATGTATGAATGCTTTGCTTACACTTATGTACACTGCTTGCATGTCGGTGCCCACAGAAGTAAGACGAGAGTGTCAGATTTCCTCGAATTGGAATTAATTATAGTATGGATGGGCATGATCTATCCTATGGGTGCTGGGAACTGAACCCGAGTACTGTGCAAGAGCAACAAGCGCTCTTAACCTCTGAGCCATCTCTTCAGCCCCCTCAAATTAATTATTACATATGGTATACATAGACATCAAGTTCTTTTCCCTCCCACACAGATATCCAGTTGTTTACTCACCATTGGTTATTGAAAAGATCACATACACATACACACTGAATTGCATTCTCTGTCGAATATCAACTGATCTGTTGTGAAGTATTACTTTAACTATGTAAAGGTGTGTTACATTTGTTTATGCTGCATTTGTTTAAGGATGTAAAGATGTGTGTTTAATTATGGAAAGATGCGTTGCAACTGTTTCACCTGGCCTGCCTAAAGCACCTGATTGGCCTAATAAAAAGCTGAATGGCCAGTAGCTAGGCAGTAGAGGGCTAGGCAGGGCTGGCAGGCAGAGAGAATAAGAAGAGGAATCTAGGCGCGAGAGAGACAGAGAGAGAAGAGGAGGAAGGAAGGAAGAGAGAATGAGGGAGAAAGAGA